AATCGGACGATGGGCCAGGATGCTCTCTCCCTTCCTTGGTCATTCGATCTGGGGTATGCGTTCCCTCCGCTACCCATGATACCCAGATTCCTGCTGAAGGTTTGGACAGAAGGCAAAAAAGTAATTGCCATAATCCCAATCTGGCCTCGAAGGCCATGGTTTCCTCTCTTAACCATGATGACTCAGGAACGACCTTTGCCTCTTCGGATAATGAAGGATCTGCTGACTCAAGGCCCAATCTCCCATCCTCATTCAGAACACCTCAAGTTGGGGGTTTTGAAAAGGAAAGATTTTGACAATTAGGCCTTTCGGAAGTAGTGGTCAATACCTTTTTGCAGTCTAGGAAGGGTTCTACTTCCTCATGCTACCATAGAATCTGGGATATATTTAGAGAATGGGCATCAGCCAAGAACATTGACTTCTTGCAACCACGCAATACTCAGATCCTGGATTTCCTCCAAGAAGGTCTGGACAAAGGCCTTAGCCTCAGCACTCTTAGAGTTAAGTCCTCGGCCTTTTCAGCATTATGCAATATCTCATGGGCTTTGGATCCCTTGCTCTCAAGACTCTTCAAGGCAGCTTTCAGGTTAAGACCTCCTTCCAGATCTGGTAGCCCTCCTTGGGACCTTCCTATTGTTCTCAGCTACCTGACTGATGATCTGTTCATTCCCCTTGGAAATTTGTATACTACCCTTCTGACTTACAAGACTTTGTTTTTGGTGGCTATTACTTCCGCAAGAATAATTTAGGAGATTAAAGCCTTTTCTACCATGTCTTCCTGCCTACAGATCTATCCGGATAGGGTGTATGTCTGAGACCAAAACCTGAGTTTCTTCCTAAGGTGGTTTCTCAGTTTCATCTCTCTCAAGAAGTGGTCCTTCCATCATTCTATCCCAATCCAACTTCTAATGAAGAAGTTAAGAACTGTCTGTCTCAATATCTTTTTCGAGACTGACCGACTCTTGGTTCTACCTTCACGAGCTAGGAGAGGTGAGGCAGCTTCTTTATCTATGTTGAAACGTTGGATTTAGCTAATAATCAGGTAAGTGTATGTCTCTAGAGGTCAGTCTCCTCCAATAACGATAACAACACATTCTACCAGAGCATTGTCGACTTCATGGGCTAATTGGGAAGAGATTCCATATGATGATATTTGCAGAGCAGCCACCTGATCTTCCCTGATGACATTCATAAAACACTACACACTGGACAAGGCCTCTCCTTCCACCTCCTTTGGGAAGAGTGTTCTGTCTACCGTTTCTTTATCCCACTGATATTAAATTTCTTTGCAGCATGAGTGTCTGTACAGTGTCTTGTTCTCGGTTTATTCCCACCCAATATTTCTGTGAGTTTGGGTATTACCCATAAGTGATGCTGCCATGATTAGCCAGGAATAGAGAAAATTTATGACAAACTTATCGTAATTTTCTTTTCCTGACTATTTCTCATGGCAGCATCAGGGTTCCCGCCCATTCTTTTATTTTTTCAGCTTTATAATTGGACCGTGGTGTAAGGGGAGGAGGGACTCTTTATACCTATCAGTCTAATTAATCTAATTAATTCCTGTCCTGTGACTAAGGGAGGAGCTACCCATAAGTGATGCTGCCATGAGAAATAGCCAGGAAAAGAAAATTATGGTAAGTTTGTCATAAATTTTCTCTAGTAATTAAGGTTTTATATACTTAAATTAATTTTTCAATGAATTGCAATGCAAACTAAGCCCGCATACACACATTGACATTACTGATGGGAATACATGTACTTTGTGCTATTTGGTAAATGCAATATTTGTAATAAACTGGCCTGTAGATAAGAAAGATTAGTGTATGCTTTTGCGTGTTAAAAAAAAAAAATACTCACAAGCATAAATGGTCACATGTTACAATTATGAGGCATAATGAGGGAATGGTGAAAATCCAACTATTCTGACCTACAATATCTCAGTTTAGTGAACAGGCCTCGTCTATTTGGTACACAAAATATAAAATAAAATCCTGCAAATCTTCAGTTCTTCAGTGTCTTTTGCTAATAGGCATTAAGAACTTTATACACTGTTTGTTGTTTTGTGCACCTTAATAAAGCCTTGTTACATTTCGTGTATTTATAGGGCTTTTGCAGAACTGGAACCCTTGCACTCTCAGGTAGGTGCTAATCCAATTGTAGTTATTGGTCTTTTCTATCTTTTGCATTTTTTGATTAGCTTTGATTAGCTGATTTTTAAAAAATTTTTTACTATAGCCTGTGTAAGATATAACATGGAACAATTATGGAGTTTATTCTGGAAAAAGACAACAATCACATTGCAAAATATCAATCAAAATTGCTGAGCTGAAAATTTGGGGGGCGTGGCAAACTGCCTTGCTAGACGGATGCGCTTCTGTGGAGCTCCACACCAGACTGATAAAATAGACCAAAAGACCCAAAAAACGTGTCCCACAAACGAGCCTCCCACCCAAAGACATCAGTGGGGCTCAAAATCAAGAAGTTACGCCTCCCGGAGACGCCTAAAATCCCCGATATTCGGCTCGCATTTGTGAGGCCTTCTCCACCGGCTTCCACCAAAATGGTGCCTGAGGCACTCAGCGAGACCTCAGACAACTCCCATGAGGAAAGAGAAAGCCTTACCTCGCCTTTGTCGGAAGATGGGGCCCACTACCAAGGCTCAAAATCGGAAGAAGAATCCTCCCCAGTAACAAAAAGGGACATAAGAGACCTCCTAGAAGAAATGTGGGAGGTGTGGAAAGCATACCTGCGGAGCACTAGAAAGGAGGTGGGTGATCTCCAGCAGCGGCTTACAGCGGTGGAATCCAAAGAGAACACAAGGGACCACCAGCTGCAGCAATCCAGAGACACGGTGCAGGACTATAGCTCACAGGTCCAAAAACCCACACGGACTGTCACGATACTGGAATCCCGGCATAGAAGGTGGAATATCCGCATCAGAGGCATCCCAGGGAGTGTTGGAGGAGAAGCCTTAATGCCCCACATACACCACCTACTCACAGTGATGGGCATTATGGGGGGTGCCGAGCCAAGCATTATAATGTCTGCGTTCAAAATCCATAAAGCCACAACAGCACCAGCGGATATGCCCAGAGATACTATAGTGGTCACGAGAGACTTGGCAATCCGCTCCGCTATCATGTCCCGCTCCAGAGTATTAGGCACAGTACAGTTGGATGGTAGCATTGTGGCCTTCTAAGGGGATCTCCCATTCACAAAGCTTGTGGAAAGGAGACAACTGGCACCTATAGCCAAAAAACTAAGTGAAGTTGAAGTCAGATACCGGTGGGCTGCAGACGGATCCCTGACAGTACCATGGGGAGACCAGACACTTACCTCCACAGACAACCAGGAGCTATTCCTCAGGAAGCTGAACCTACAAGATGCAGACAAGAGAAAGGCCGGTGGTAGAGGCAACCAAGCGCAGCGTCAGCCCAAGAGCAACCGGGGCGGAAGAAAAACATCTTGTGCCGACTCCGACAAAGAGACAGTCCTAAGCATTAGCATGTAGCAACTGCACTCCTCCTGATGGACTCTCGCAGCTGTAAGAAACTGCGCACGAGAGAGCAGCCTTGAGGCACTCGATCCAAAAGAGGAACACCATAGTCCCATACAGTTTCTGCACAAAGAGGTTTTTACATCCTTCTGAGTAGCAAAACAGTTTAAAAAGTTGTTGGTGATCTATACCCATGTTAGCCCCTAGTAATCGCCTGCTACATAGACGAAAACCTAATATACTAATACGAGATGTTCATTAGATGAGGTTGATGCAAATCTTAGTCACATACCATGTCTAAGTTGTATTTTGAGAATTTAAACTCCAAAAAAATACAAAAAAAAGACATAACAAGACCAATCTTAAAGCACAGATAGGCTTGTATATTTGCATATCGTATGTTTGTGTTTTAACCTTGTACTTAAAGGGATAATAAAACCACAAGAGATTAATATAGTCGATCTGGTGCAAAGAGACTGTCCCTGCAGTGTACTAAGGACCCCTCTAGAGGCTATCACTCAGACATAATATAAAATTCCTAAAAAGCACTCCAACATAGGAATATATTGTTTTCATAAAGTTAGTGTGCTCCTTTAACCCCTTAACGGCGTTCTATGTAATTTCATTCTAACTGTATTTCGTTATTAATATATATATATTGGTAACAAAATACACTTAGAATGACATTCTATATATATCTATCTGTATATAAAATACAAATAACCGCAAATATATATATATATATATATACAGATAAATATATATATAATTACATAAATAACTACATGAGTGTACACGTAGACATATATTTAATTAATATTTTAACATAATTATGTGACTTAATTAATTAAAATTTGATTGACATGCCTGACAACCCAGGCAGAAAGTGCAGAGAATTTGAATTGCAAGCACTATATTTAACACTGTAACTTTCCAAGACACCACAAAACCTGTACATGAGGGGTACTGTTTTACTCTGCAGACTTCGCTGAATACATATTAGTGTTTCAAAATGGTAACTTGTATTACAATAATATTTTTAGTAAAAGTGACGTTTTTTGCATTTTTCACACACAAACGGCACTTTTACTGACGATATTGTTGTGATATGTTTTAATGTTTTAAAACACTTATTTTTGTGTTCAGTGAAGTCTCCCAAGTATAAAAGTACCCCCCTTGTACAGTTTTATAGTGTTTTGGAAAGTTAGAGAGTCAAATATAAGGCTTGCATTTCATTTTTTCACATTGAAATTTGCCAGATTGGTTATGTTGCCTTTTGAGACCGTATAGTAGCCCAGGAATAATAATTACCCCCATGATGGCAAACCATTTGCAAAAGTAGACAACCCAAGGTATTGCAAATGGGGTATGTCCAGTCATTTTTAGTAGCCACTTACTCACAAACACTGGCCAAATATTTCTTTTTTGCTTTTTTCACACAAAAACAATTATGAATGCTAACTTTGGCCAGTGTTTGTGACTAAGTGGTTACTATAAAAGACTGGACATACCCCACTTGCAATATCTTGGGTTGTCTACTTTTTCAAATGGTATGCCATCATGGGGGTAAATCTCATTCCTGGGCTACCACGCGGTCTCAAAGGTAACATTACTAATCTGGCAAATTTCAATGTAAAAAAATGAAAAATGGAATGTGCTATATTTGACCCTTTAACTTTCCAAAACACCGTAAAAACTGTTAATGGGGGCTACTGTTGTACTCTTGAGACTTTGCTGAATCCAAATATGTGCCTTTTTTGCAGTAAAAGCGAACAGTATCATGACATTTACAGTTAAAATGTGAGGCGGAACTACAATTTAAAAAAAAAAAAAATTACATTGCTCACAATTATTTTGATTTTATTCATAATAAATTATTTCATATATAAATATTTGATATGAAATGAAAGCCCTGTTTCTCCTGAACAAACTGATATATAATAAGTGTGGGTTCATATAATATGAAAGAGGTGAATTATGGTTGAACATACATATAGCGCAAATTCCAGTTTTTGTTAACATTTTATTTTGATCAGAACGTGTACTATTGACTCTGTCCTGAAGGGGTTAATAAATAGGAATAATTTCACCAAAAATATAAATAAATTACTGAGCTGAGAATATTCTTCCACAATTTTTCTACCTCCGGCGTGATGTAGAGAATTTTACAATACGTTTGCCATTTTACCTTAATTTACTGTCAAGTGTATAAACCTCTTAACTTAACATTTCTTTGTTTAGTATATATGGCTTTAAAGGTTTCTTCAGTTTATAAGAACTTTCGTACACAGCCTTGTGCTCCTACAGTATTTTCCAAATAACAGTAGATAGTTTGTGTCTACATTGCTAGTCTCTTTTTCCAGATATACAGATTTTGTAGAATGGACTTTTTTAGGCGATACTCCTGCCAAGAATTCAATAGTTGTTCAAGCTTTCATCTTTATGCTGTGCTTAACATTCATTTGTAATGTGTACTATATTAAAGTTCATTTTTCCAGAAGGTTTATATTACTAGGCAGTCTCGTAACCATGATTGAAGTCTGTTCCTTCATCATTACATTGGTAACATTCACAGGTATTTCTGTATTCCAATTATTGTTCTATTTTGTGTCCCCAAGCTATTTTCCTGTTCCCCATCTTGGTTTCTGTATCTTTCCAACTTGTTTGCCTGCATCCCCAGCTGCATTTGTAAATGGTTTACCAAATGTTATGTCTCTACCCTGGTACTTGGCTAAGTATTTGCTCAAGCATCAAAAGAGCAATAATGATCGACTGAGATCACTAGCTGAGTCAATCAGTGGCTGCCCATCACCAGTACAGCTTTAAGATGCACATATAATTACTCTTGATGGCCTGCCAGTGATAAGCTGACTGCAACAGTCCCAACAGTCCTAATTTTGGCGGAACCGTCCCTATTTTGAGGTCCCATCACTCCATCCAAACTTTGTTCCCTGGCATCTTATTTCTGGGGACAATAGGAAACTGTCCCCAGAAAGCTTGATTGTATCCAGGGCCAGCTTGAAGGGAATGCAAATACCACCCAGTGATAAAGCAAATTAGGCATCTGCCAACCACAACGGAAGGTGCCTAGTCAGAACTACCCCACATTGGACAAGTTAAAATGATTAAAATAATTTGAGTGTATGAAAAACTGTGTGTGTCTATCAGTGAAAGTGCATTTGTCAGTGAGTGTGTGTCTGAGTGAATGTGTTTATGTCTGTCAGTGTATCAAAGCAGTGAAGATGTGTGTATTTGTGACTTTGTCTCTAAGCATTGACTGTGTATCTGTCAGTAAGTGTGGGGGGAGGGGGTGTCCGTCAGAGTGTGACAAATCAGTGAGGATGTGTTTGACTGTGAATGTCAAATCAGTGAGTGTGTGTGACTCAGTGAATGTATGTGGTGTGTATGTGTATCTGAAAGCTTGTTCCGGTCAGTGAGTGGGTGTGTGCCAATGACTGTGTGTCTTTCAGTGAGTGTATGTCAGTGTAGGAATCAGTGAGGGTGTGCGTCTGTCAGTCAAAAAAGTTGGCTTCCTCTCCCGGTCTGCCCGCAGCACACGACCAGGCCCTCATGGCACGTTTATTGAGTGGCCCTAGGTACATGGGCCACCCGACGGGCTCCTCACCCGAAGGTTCCCAACATGTGCGGTTGAACCGGCAACGGTACCGCCATAACCACATTTCTTTTTGCCTACCCCTGAAGGAACTGGATTGGGTTTGGAACCACTGGATTGGTGAGTCTCTGTGACTATTGTGCATGCACTGTATGTCTTAAATAATTCTCTATGAAAAGCACTTGGCTGGTTAAAATTCATCAACCTGTATGACTTCACAGGTCAGACTCAAAGTTATTCTGAGTTTCAAAAAGTTACTGTTGTTGTGCATCACCTGCATATCTCAAGTTGTACTTCAGGAAGGCCACCTTAGGCAGAGAAACTCAGCGAAATCATATCTCCACAACCATCCCAGAATTCCCAGTTTGGCATGTAAATAAGCAGACAGGCATTGGTTTTCAGACTTTAGCAATGGACAGCTTTTTTTATTTAAATTTTAAACCAAAGAACCCCTTATGATCCAAAAAGACCAATAACCAGACATCAGCCATGAACTCTACAGCTCCAGCTGGTTTCTTATCATTGGTCTTTTTAGAACACTAGAAGGTAAAACTGTGCCAAAAAACACCAGTTCTGGCCTGGAATTTAAAGTCTCTCTGTGAGCATATAGCTAGGTGCAAAACAATTTGTGGTGAGACCAGACAATAAAAAAAACTCCCACAGTGCAAATAGAAAAAATACCGTTGAGCATCACCTGCATATATTAAGTATTTTTTTTGTGTTTTTTTTAATTAGGCAGTTCATTTATGCACATAACTAGAGCACCACCTGCTGGAGAATGATGGGATTGTAACATACTCACAAAAGGAGGACTCTGTAGTAGATTGTTCTGAGGTTCGTTATAAAGAACAAGCACTGCCAATCGAAAGAGGGATCATACAAATGAGTGGGATATAAGTAATCAGGGAAGATACATGTGAACATATGCATTATGGGAAATTATGCCTTAATAAATGGTTACTCCAACCAGTATACTGCTTTTTCCCTATGCTGGTATCCCCAAACTTGAAGAAACAAAAATAAAAAATAAAGCTAAAACTTCACTCAATTCCAGCACGGAGGCCAGGATCTCCCCTCAGCCCAAACCTCCAACACTAACTTCAATCCCCCTGTGGAAGGCAAGCAGGGGGAGGATATGGGCAGCACGAAGGAGGGGAAAGGGGTTGTGAATGCCAACAGTGGATGTCTGTTAGTATGCTGACTTCAGATGTCCAATATCCATAGAATTCACCTTAGCCAACACTTCAAATCACTGAAATGGACTTGGTGCATGGAGAAACCCTTCAACCAGCTGTAGTGGTTTAATTAATTGTTCCCTACAGTGTCACTTTAAGATGTTAATGTTATCGTGAAATGTATGAAGCCTGTTATTAACTTTACTTTTTATCTTTCACAGTACAAAAGTCACAAGTCACATGACAAGTCACCAAAGGTCACCTCAAATACTTATGAAAATAAAGCACGGCTGTATGTGAATGTAGAAGATTTATACTGTCAAGAGCTGCTTTCTCGATTTGGGAAAATTAAGAAATGTATATCTCCAGCTCACAGACAGATGTCTTGCCTGCAAGCCCAAATCTCTCTAACAAGCGGAGTTTTGAAAAGCTAACTGCATATGTCATGTCACACCTTGCAATGTACTAAGTAAACACTCAGAACACTACATACATCCTACCATCTCACTCCCAGAGCATGGAAGATTTCACATGGGTATAATCTCCATTCTCGAAATGAAAAACAATAGCCAATTTCCATGTTCATATTACCATAAAAAATATAAACAAATATATATCTCATTCACAGCTGATGCTCACAAGAGCAGCTGTTGGTAGAATGAGAATGGAGGTGGCGAACAACTTCTGCTACAAAATGGTCAGTCCAATCAGGTCATGATGGCAGCTTGGAAAACGGGCAGTCCTTTGAACAAATAGAATGTGCCGTCCAGCTGGTAATGCTTATCTTCATTGGAAGCAAATTACTGCCAACAAAAAGTAGCCAGCTTAATATGTATAGAAACAGTTAGCTATAGCTGTATGTGTTGTTTTTAAGGCAGTTCAAAATGGACATTTCGGGTACTAAGCACATGCATTTATGTCAGCAATTTTGAAATGTTATAAAGTGCATTTGTCCTTTAATAACGATCAACTTTTAACAAATCATTAACTACCTTGTTTGGGAGAGTTGGTAGATCTGCTAATGCGCAGACACAGGGTTATTCACAAAGTGAATTTCACGTTCAAGGAAAAAAAATAAAAAAAAAAAAATAAAAAAAAGTCAGTTATGCTTTCAGTTTAGCCACTTAGGCTTTAAATTCGAAATTCACTTAGAATTCTCCCGTTATTGAATAATGTTGTTAGAAATGTTAAGGATTATTGGTTAATTATTGGAAAAGTGCTTTCAAAGGAAACAGTGACAAAGCAAGCATCTGCAGACTTGAATACAAGTAAGATTTTACTATATTTAGGGAGCCATGAGGGGACCTGGGTGGCTAGATGGTGGTTTTAACCCTATAGGGTCAGGAATACATGTTTGTGTTCCTGACCCTATAGTGCTCCTTTAAGTTGGTGCTGTCTGTTATGATGGCTTTGCCTTGTAAAGAGCAATCTTTGAAACTTTGTAATGCTTTTTCCCCCCTCTCCACAGATCGCACATTAATACTGCCCCACCTCTGCTGAAGAGCAACTGTTAACTACTTCAATTCTGTTAGTGCTGTCAATAAATATAAACAAAACTGTGATTTGCACATACAACAAGAAACTGCAAAATACAACTCCAATAGAAAACTTGTTATAAAATTCTGATTTATTAATATCTTACAAATATAGCTGTTTGTATATATGTGCATTATCATCTTCCGGTAGTAAGAGTTATAGGACAATCAATGATTGGATTAATATGGTGACCAGCACAGTAGGAGGGTTGTACAAGAAACCAGATCTGATTGTCTGCATCATGGAATACTCTCAATTCATAGAAAGAGCAAAACAAGTCAGTTAGTTAGCAATATAAGGAAGCTTTAAGAAACAGGCTTTCAAAACTAGTTTTGAAAGAGAAGAAATTACGTGGACCTGTATTTTAAAAGCAGCTATTTTCTTGCCTTCACGTTCTTATCTACAGTAGGATAGTATGGTTAGATTCAAAATCAAACCTTAACTCATTTAAAGAATGACAAATCTCTTCATATTAGTCATTTCCTGAACAGTCCATGAAGACATTGTGGTCGAGAGAGGCTTTGTGTTTGCAGGATAGAAGGGTAACACACCCATTTATTCGTCACATTCCTCCTAGGCTGACCATCCTTTATGGCGGTCTTCAGCAGAAACAGGAAATATGAATACTGGCAATTGCATAGTGAGGTGAACGGTATGTGGAGAACATTCAGTTAACTGTGCGGGAACGAGGACGCAGGCCACCCGGAGCAAACTGTAGCTCTATTGACTTCTTTCCATGTGCCTGAGAGTGCTCCTTGTACCATTCCTGGGGAAAGCACAATCAGACATGTAAAATACAGTATTGAGATTGTGCCATGGAGGACTGGCATACAAAATTACATTTTTAATATACATGAATGTTAAATAGCCTTATGGAGAGTGAAAATGCCAGACAATTCATCAGAATCAAAATGCTGAACAAAAACACTCTCTAAATTAATAGCATTTTAAAAAAACTCGAAGTCAAACATTCTACCAATGCAATAGTTGAGTGTGGATCTGAAGATTGCAATATATATGTTTTTTGTGCCCATTACGGTTATTGCTGCAGGAACAAACTCATTCAACTAATTTGGATTGTTCTTTTAACATTCCTCCTTAAGTTTGAATATGAAGTCTAAATACTACAGAATGACATGTATTGCAGTAAGCCTGTAGAGGAGACACATGTCCAGAAAAAATAGAAACATATTAAACTGCCAGTCACAATTATGACTGAATATGTTAGCGATTCATTATACTAGAGTTGTCGTTTTAACCATACTAGATTACATTACATAACAAGAAAATATAAATATTTATGCTCACATATAGTGAATGAATCAAATTAAATTTGGGAATGTGAAGTTAAAATGCAGTAATTTTATTGAGGTTATGCCCAAATTCAGAGGTGGATGAGGTTTCAGACTCCTTCAGTGATATAATATGCATGCTGACCTTCTTTCCCATACACGACTACCTGCTGTTCCTATTATACAAAACAATAAACAGAACACAGCAGGAGCCTGAAATATATATCTCACCTGGATCTCTTCCTCGTACATTTTCATGCTAAGGTCACTCTTGGTTCTAGATCTGCGGCCCACAAACAGAACAGACCCAGTCTAAAGAAGGTATAAAATAGGGCAATGTAAATAAGAGGCCAACATGAGAAATAGCAATATGGGATAGAGGTAGTCAGGGCAAGAAATGCTAAGAGCTGGACAACAACAGAAACACAAAATAAAACTAATAGCATAGAGTTAGAATAAATAATAAAATGTTAGAACACGGACTAGAGAAAGAATGAAATCTATAGCTGAGATACAGCCCAAGAGCACCAGGAAAGGGTAACATAAGATGACTTACTTCATTAGCTTGCAGATGAGACAGCAATTTGCGTAGCTGTGATTTCTCTTCATTGCTTTGGGCTTGTCTAAGAATAAGAGTTAACTCCTCTCTCCCAACTTCTGTTTCCAAAGTAATTCCTTTATCATCTGCAATAAAACAGTAAAAGAGGGAACTTTTATACTTAAAGCAGACAGTTCAACCTACTTTGTTTACTTTTATTTTCTATAGCAGGTGCATATATAGGAACCGTTAAATAATAAGCAATAACTTTTAGTATTAAGAGATTTACAATTTTGAAGTAGCGTGTGGTTCAAAATTTATTTTCTTCTTGTGTGCGTAATTCTGTCTCTCAACAGCTTTGCCTGGGATGTAGCGGTGATTTCATCCAGCTCTGTGTCCAGTAATGCAACAAAATGACTGGGCTTCTAGCAATGACAGGATAGGGCTGATGTGATTCTTAACCCCAATGTTACATGTAAGTGTAAATTCCTGATCAATGTCTGTCTGTTGTATACAGCTTTAATGAACACATAGCTACTTTATCTCATTGATATGGTTTCTACAGTTTCTTGTTAAACTAATCTCTCAAACTGACAAAATAGGGCTGGGAATTACACTTTTGGCTTTCATACCAATGCATGCGCTAATACCTGCCCAGGGCTCTGTGTGGCAAGCACCAATCATGTCAGAGACCGTTTTCAGACTTGCAAGTGCTTGCTCCCAGGGAAAAACAACTGCAACTTCCTTGCATGGAGGTTGTATTTCAAAAACTCCACTTTGGAGATGCAAGGAGCTGCAATTCATATTGAATGACGGCTCACCTTCTGCATCCTTGTTCTTCCTGCTGTAGTTCATGCGGAACACAAAGGCATCCAGAATACAAGCTACGATTATGGTGATTACAACCTGCACACAGACACAGCCATAAGATATGTTAAACAATTCTGCAAGGGATCAGCCAATTCGTCATAATATTACTCACTCACCATGGTGACAATATAGAAAACCATGAAGTATAGACGTGCCCAGTGTGACGTTTGAGATGTAACACCTTCCTGAAATGGGAAAAAACATTGTGAGAAGTAGTTCCACAACCTTCAATTGACGCAATCATTTGAAGTAATACAAATCTAAACATGTATCAGATCAAAAGCAGCTCATATTACAAGCAAAAAAATATACGCCCAAAACGTGCAATAAAGTATAAAAGAAGATACCTTTATTTTCTTCACTTTAAAAAATCTCATCTGGGACTGTACAGCAGGAGGGAAAAGCACAACCATGATGACGCTTACCCATTTTGTGCCTCAAGGGACCTAGATCAGAGACCTAGATAGTCTAGTAATATACCTGCAAGCTAGAAATTTTGAGAAAACAATATGCAACATTTTAGGGCCTGTGCGAAGCCATCCCGGAGGAGGCATTTGAATCTGTTAATTTGCTAGAAATTTTACCAATGCAGTATATATCTTGAGGATACATTTGGCATTTTGACTTGTAGATAACAGTTTAAAGGAACACTATAGCGTCTGGAATACAAACCAGTGTTCCTAATGCTATAGTGCTCTAACTGCACGTTAGATTTAGGTCTCCCCAACCCCCCAATTTCAGTAAAAAACTGAAAATAAAATAGGATTAAAAAAATTATTTACTTACCGTTTCTCCAGCGCCAAGACTTCCTCGCATTACTTCATTTGGCTCTCGAGTCAATGGTCAATCCAATGTTCCCCATAAAGGAGCACCGGAAACTGAAGAGCATGTGCAGTGAGTGTTTGTACGGCACAAATCCAAATGCTTTTCATTGCAAAGAATTGAATTCAATGCTTTCCTTTGAGCTGCAACTTCACGTGACTTCGTTTTACTCAGTCGCTGAAGAGGAAGCACCTTTAGTGACTGTGAGGAAGACAGCCACTAGCGGTGCATTTGTTTAACTCTACACCCATACAACTAAATTGAGATTAAATGGTCTGGGTGACTTTAGTGGTCCTTTAACGCTAAGATTTATAAGTTGATTATTTTGTGTTTCTGGAAGCTGGAAAATTATTTTTAAAAAAGCTTGTGATATTTTCAAATATTTTGCATGACATATACATTAGTGAATTATATAAAATTATATAGACTCCCTTAAAAAGATATTTAGCCCCCCGCCTGTTTAAGACCATTTATTTTGTCCTGGGAGAACAGTCTACTGAACAACTACCAACAAGTACAAACATTAAAGTGAAAAATGATTTCATTCAATTCCTTCAATAATAGGAGTTTATTGTATTTGTTCTGGCCATTTTAATCTAAAGCATTGTGAACAAATCTATTATGTTTTGTTTAGAAATAATATAATTCTTTAGTAAATACGGTGTTTTTTTATTTTATAAAAATGATTATTTTCTTAAAGATAGCGTCTAAGTATCAATCTAACATCTGGCAATAGGCAGAGTCGATAATTTTGTAAATAGTCCCTAAATGTACTTAATAACTTGAATTCAAGCCAAGCAACATTAGAAAGAAAGAAAGAAACACAAATTACTAAATGTGTTCTATGTTTAAAAAAAAAAAAAAAAAAAAAGAAACCAAACAATATGATCTGTCCTGTATCAATGAATGATGGAAAACAAACATTTTATTTCAAATTAAATTAAGTGAAACTTTTTAATACTGTGAAACCATCAAATAGTTTTTGAAGAACTTAAGAGAACTATGTAAATATCAACATCCAAATAAGCAATACATTCAGCAAGGTGTACATTTTCCACTTGCCACTGGCTTTTGGCGAGGGAAAATGTAGTGCTCTGTGATATAATTAGATGGTCCACTGCTTGCTAGCTGTAATTTCTTTATATTTTCAAAAAGACAACAATATGACTTCTAGGAGGTGCATATTAAAACAGTCCCCAAATACTTAGAAAAACAATAGCACAAAAATAGCAACACATTGTACTTCACAGAGAAGTGACATCAAAGAGTTAGGACAAAACGTCTTCTCTTTATTAGATATCAAAGCGTAAAATATACATAAAGGCAGAAATATAAACCAAATGCCAACTGAACATAATGGGGAAGAGAAGGCAATACATACTAGTAAACCCACTAAAAATTAGACATTTTAACTCGTTGGTATCATTTCTCTTGGTGCAATATTTTTATTTTTTTTAGTAAAAACTGGCAAGTAGAGATTCAGCCCTGATTCAGTGCCATGAACCCTCCAGGTTTGCAGTGGTGATCAACTCAAGGCTTGTCTATTAGTGTAGGTCTTGACATGCTAAGCACTGGCATTCAGTACATAAATCTTTGCCTAATTGGGACACTCACCATTATGATGTACCAGTTATTTACCACTGTCAGCTCAAACAGAGTCACTGCACAGAAAGATACGGAGAAAAAGATTAAAGTGAGATGTTGCTATGCAGATATATATATTTTTTTAACTCAAATGATATCTGGACTTGAGTCTCTTTAGCATTTTGTTTGGAGACAAATTAAATTATAGTTTAAGAACTAGAATCCTAGCATGGGATCTACTCTATCAGTTGTATTTCATTAAAATACAGAGGACATGCAGAAAAAAATAACAACAAGAAAGTAGGCTAGTTTGATAACAACAAGAAAGTAGGCTAGTTTGGTAAAATAAATCTATTACATCATGTTTGATAAACTACATTAAGTTTTCATCACATTCCGGTACCAGAGTGAGAAAGTAGTTGGGTTTAAGACACAATCTACCTGTGACCCCCCTCTTACCAAAGCTGTTAAGGATGTTGTCAAAGTTGTTTAGGTAATAGTATCCCTCCTCAGGAAGAGTTTGGTTGCCCACTGTACGGTTCAGAAAACGATAAGAGTCCGCCACTGTGCTGGTGCTGAGTTAAAGGGACACAGGAGACAGACTTCTTTACGAAAATGATCAGTAACATTTTGTCCTATTATGTATTTCACATTACTTTGTACGTGGTGTTCACAGTGTGTTAGACTTGTAAAAAAACGTGCCACAAATAAAGGAGCACACTTTAAAGTGAGGAGTACCTACATAACTGATGGTAATGGGGATCCATCTATGTACACTCTTGTTACACAATACTGATTGGTGTTGCCAAGTGAGTGTTCATCACGCTTTTACCTTATATTATTGTTCTATATTGTTTTATTTGTTTTGTATAAGTCACATTAAGCTTAGGGGGGAAACAAAGGGAAAAAAACAGAGGGAGCCTAATTCTTTCTGTGGTTTTTAAAACAAGCTAAGCTATTAGAAGATGAGGTACAAAGCATTTTATGCCAAATATTTTACCACTGTACTGCTTTAACCCCTTAAGGACCAAACTTCTGGAATAAAAGGGAATCATGACATGTCACACATGTCATGTGTCCTTAAGGGGTTAAAAATATCTTCCCATTTCTGGTGGTGTAGGCCTTTGCTCCCAACTAACAGAATGTGTCATCAAATAAATAATGATGCTATAAATAGGATTTTAATTTCAGAGATCTTACAGATCTTAAATCTGTGTGTGTATATATATAATACAGACTCAATTAAAGCATGCAACAGCTTGTTGGCTGTCCTTGTGCACTGCAAAAAACAAAGAGGTACTGTCACTTTTTCTGAAATTAGAAAACTGAATTAAAAAAAAAAATCACCTATGACTAACTCATATTAACCTTTCTTCATGTGATGTCCAGTTTTCTTTTAAATATTTATTTAGAATTGGCCAAGACATCCCAATCCAGTTCAGTCCAGGCACAGCCCCACCACTGAAATGACGCGGAGAACAGAAATACAAAGTTTTGCAGACCTCTTACTCTTTCGTGTTATTATTGGAACAATTTATTAAATTTGTTGCTTTTGCAACCCAACCGGTGATTCTGGACATAGCCATTTTTGTTCCAGCCAAACAATCAATTTATTAATCTGTCCTTTTTTATTCCACCAGAAAAGTGTATTATTTTTAAACAAATGTTGAAATTTTGCAGATTATTATAAGAACAATTTACAGACCAAACACAAAATACACTTCATGCAGGGGGCATAGTATGTCTTGTTCTACTTACTTGCAGCAGTTTGGATATAGCACTCCAGAGAAGAACTCCATGCCCACAATGGAGAATGAATAATAGAAGATGAGCAGAGTCAGACCCAAACTGCAAAATTAAAAGTGCACTTGTCAGCAATGCAAAGAAATAAAGACAGAGAAAATAGAGACGATAAAGTTATTTGAGAAAGGAAATCATCCTATTCTAAAGACCTACACAAGCATTTAGGCCAGCAGCACAAATCCATATTTTCCAATACAGCATTCTAACAACCATGGATGTGGACCAGAATGCAAATGGTCTGGATGCCGCCACATGGATCAAATATGAAACACTCTGGTACACTGGTAATTAGGTTGAATAGGCATCTCTCTGCCTGCAAATTTGGTCCAACTGTCCTTTTACCATTTGGTTGGGATGAAATTGCAGGCGGGCAGTTGCTGATTTCAATGAGAGCTATCCTGACAAAAAGCTGTCATTACCACCAATCAGATAGTTCATATATACTCCAACAATTAAAACATTTATTTTACATTTCTATTATTTTTCTATTACGATGTAACCTTACTGCAAAATGTTGTTGGATAAAGCCTTGCACCACACCTGACTTCCTACATTACAAATGTGTGCTATGTGACTATAATTCTGCCCTCTCCCTTGCCAAGAAAGAGTGTTTTACCTCTCTCAATTCTACCTACTCTCGTGATCCCAAATGCCTCTTTCATGCCTTTAACTCCCTTCTTCTCCCCACTGTAACCCAGCCATTAACTAACCTCACAGCTTGTGATTTTGTATGTCACTTTACTGATACAATCAACCAAATTAGAAGTGCAAATATTATCTCTTTGATCCTCCCTTCCAATACTCTTCTTCTATTCTTTACCTTCTTCCACTTTTAACTCCTCTCCCTCGTCTCGGAGCTACAGGTCTCTAAACATCTCCTGTCCTCTTGCCCTACCACATGCCCTCTTGATCCCCTCCCACATTGTACAATCTCTTTCCCCCGGTCTGGTCCCATCCCTAATGCATATTGCCAACCTTTCTTTCTCTACTGGCATGTTTCCCTCTTTTCTCAAACATGCAATTGTTAATCCAATCCTAAAAAAGCCATCTCCTGACACTTCCAATCCTAACTACTATCCAATATCACTACTCCACTTCACTTCTAAGCTTCTTGAGCGGGTTGTATTTACCCATCTCACTCCCTTTCTAAATACTAACTCTTTCCTTGACCTTCTTCAATCTGGCTTCCGCTCCCACCATTCTATTGGAACTGTCCTTACCAAAATTACTAATGATTTAAACTGCTAAATCTAAAGGCAAGTACTCTCTATTAATTCTCCTCAACCTCTATGCTGCTATTGGTATGGTTGACCATTCTCCTCTTCTTCATACCATCAACAGCCTTGAACTCTGTGACACTGTACTTTCCTGGTTTTCATCTAATCTTTCTGAATGCACATTTAGTGTCTCTTTATTTGGTGCCACCTCCTCCCTGCTTCCTGTCTTAGTTGATGTTCCCCAAGGATCTGTTCTTGGTCCTCTTTTATTCTCCATCTACACTGCCTCTCTCAGTAACCTCCTTTGAATTCATTACCATCTATATGCGGACAATACTCAGATTTACCACTACTCCCCTGAACTCTACACTGCACTTCTGGAACTTGCCACAAACTGCCTGTCTTCAATCCATAACGGGATGTCTTCCCATTTTCTAAAACTTAGTTTTTCTAAGACTGAACTCCTCATCTTTCCTCCATCAAACAGTCCTTTCCTCCATCAATCTCCATGCAAGTCAAGGGGACACCAATTACCCCAATCTCTCAAGCTCACTGCCTTGAAAGTCATACTTTTTCGCCTCACATCTAGTCTATCTCCATATCCTGTTGCTTCCAACTTAAAAATATTGCGCGCATTTGCCCTTTTCTAACACAAGATACAACTAGGCACTTGTTTATTCATTTTTTATTATCTTATTAGCCTTCCAAATACCCACATTACCCCTCATCCATCTAAAATGAATGCTGCAGACTGTCTCATCTTCCTGACTGACTAATATTCACACATCACCAGTTCAGCAAGCTGAAGTGCTTTAGGCGTCTGGAGTGTCCCTTTAACGCCTGATATTTAAGAGATACACATGAATAAAATAGGATTAATGTCTATTTTATATGTATAATATCTTCACTATTTTGGAAGATTACTTTTTTCATCTTCCTGAGCTACAATTTTCAGTCATTACAAAGACAGTGGTAACATATAGCAGACAAGCGAAAGTGATACCTACAAATAAACAACTTCTGCAAAAAATAGGGCCCTCCAAGGAACTTCAAAATATTACTTTGGCACAGCACTACCAAAAGGTTACCTACCCCAAATCTAAGTAATAGCATGGGAGTGAAATAAAAAGTTGATACATAAGGCAAGTATAAACATAAAGAATAAAAGAAGAATTAAAAATAAGATGATAGAAAAAGACAAACAAACAAATGGCATATTAGGATAAAGAAACATTAACCTATGGCAAAAGTTAGGACAAAATAGACTACCTGGCCATCCGTGGAAGTAATTCAAACATTGTGTCTAGCACTGTTCTGTAACGATTCTTTAATTTAAAAAGCCTGGAATAGAACAGAATGATAGTGTTATAAACAGGTGTGTACTCAAACTACTCTACTCTATTCACAGTGTGTGTGCTTAAATATAATAATACAAGATGTGAAGAAAAGCAACACCAAATAAAATCATTAGATCATCAGAAAGTAACACTGATATAATAGTTTTTGAATGTTGTATGCCAGCATCAGCATCAGTACATGATATGAAAATGGTGTTTGACACACCCAATGCAGGAAGAGACATATAATAACTCCTTAAGACTGGTGTATCCAGATGAATGCTACCAGCATCAATGTACACTGACCTAAGTAGCTGCAAAGGTCGCAGTACCACAATGAAGTAAAAAGGCTTCATGTCAAAGGCCAGAGCCAGGAGTCCAAGAAGAGCCAGTAATGTCACTGAAAAATCAAACCTGGGCAGGAGAGAAAGACAGAAATGTATGTATCCACAATACAAAACCGAGCACTATACATCATGTACCAACACAGAAAATATAGCTTGGCCATATTTTCAATGAACATTTCTAATCCATACAGATCACTAACTGGACACACAACTACGGAGGAACAAAATGTGGACATGTGTCAAAATGCTGTCCAGCAACACGGGTAGTTTAGATTTCATTTAAAACATCTTCTCACCTCCAAACGTAGGGAATATTCATGCAAAAATAACTATACATTGTGTTAACAACCGTATGAATAAAATGTTACCCATGCAAATGCATGATGTTGCAATTACAGGCAGGCAACAGGCCAAGAAGAGAATTAGATTAAAAACACCTAGTATAGGCAATACAAGTATAAGCAATTCCACTTGTATAATCACTGTTTTGACAGTTAATTACAGACATGAGGGAACCTCTTGATTCACACATAAATGGGTCAGAGGTCCATTGTAATTAGAATAGAAATACTCACAGATTCCAGCCTGATGTAAAGTATTTAAGAGGCCCTAGACCTGTCACCTTCAGCATAAGCTCAGCCCCATAGACTGCAACAAAGAGAAAACAGGGAGGAGGAGTATAAATGAGCAGGGACTTTCACCCTAAATTTTACTATAGATGATATTAATGAAACTGAGAAAAGGAAGGGATTGTAGGACAAGCAGAGATTGCATTGCTCACGTGTCAGGAAAACAATGTAGCTCCAAGGAACACCTTCTGGAAAAAAGTTACCACCTGGGGAGAGAGAGAGTATTGAGGTCAGCGTAATCACCTTGTGAGTGTACAGTTTAAAAGCAATGCCCCCCTGGTGTAGGAAAGAGTGTGATAAGAGACTTATTTTGAAGTTTAAAATCAATAACTGGTGCAAGTGGAGCACAAACTTGATTATGATGAAAGATAGAAAAAATAAAAAGCTAGACTGATAATACAGAGCCTTCATAATGCCATCTATCTCACAATGTAAAAAATGAGACGTTGGGCTTACCCCGCAACATAAATGTTTCAACTAGAATCCAGCAACCATTGACTGCCACAACTGCATCTGTATGGAGAAACAAACAAGGATTGACAACATACAAAACTAAAATAAAGAATGTGGAAGAAAGATTGGAGGTATAACTGCATTGGCGAGTCATAGGGCAGCTGAGAAGAAATTTCCACTGTATCTACCTCATGTTAATACAAAGAAACACAGTTCCACATTATATGGAGGATACCCCTTTAAATGTACAAATTACCAAAAGTTATTTGAGAATACCAAAGAACTGTACAATTAAAAATGATCTTTTATTACCTGTTCATTAAATGGACACTCCCCTGTTTAGTAGATATATCAACAATATAAACATGGATGCCATTAATTATGCATTTGTATCATTGGGGTATATGTAAAAACAGCATGCAAATACTGCAGATGTCTTGTCTGCACCCTTTGCAAGCCCTTCCCTAATTCCCCAGCCGAGACATTCTCAGGCATACCTGAGAATGATGAAAATATTTACAAACAGATGTTTGTCACTAGGAATGCAGCCACTAGAGAATAGGCATTACCTTAAATCACAGACTTCCCAAAGCAGCTGAATGTGAACTATGTACAAGATATGGGCTCGGAGCAATTGCCTCCTCTTGAATTTAGCTCCATTGAGCTAAACAACCATGATGTATCAAGAGTGACTGTCTGACAGCCAGGGGGTTATAACAAGATTAATTTCTAAAAGTGTCAATTTCTATTGAAATCTGCTCTTTTTTAAAATAAAAAGCAAGTTTGAATGGTCTGGAGTGACCCTTTAATTAAAACCACCTATCCCCAACAATTCTTCAAAGACTAAAAGAACAGAACCAATATAACTTATAGAAACAATTATTTGTATTATAATTACAGATATAAAACAGAGTGTAATAGGATTATATTAAAGCACATTCCAGAGGGATAACCTGATTGTGAGATAGGAAAACAGCTAAAACAGAACACAAGAATAGTAGAGATGGTAGAATTAGAACAATAGAAAGCTGTAGATTGTCTGGAAAACATTGGGGACCTTAGCAGCACAGTCAGACAGTATGAGATGACACAGAGATGTCTACTTACATACGGCATACTGGAAAGCTTTTGAATTTGCCAATACATTGATACCTGAATAAGAAACCAAATGCATTGATCATGTGTTCAAACAAAGCAGATAATATAAAATAAACAGAAATATATCAAATAAATCTTAGTAGTTAGAGTTATTGACAAACATGTCATTATTCATTAATGGAAAGATCATGAAGCAAAAATCCATGTAGTGTATATGACATTTCTACTATACCTTTAAATATAAGTAGTGCTGTGGGAGGCAGATCATCAAACCAGTGATCACGGATCCTCTGTACCTGTAGAAAAAGACATGGATCATAACTAAACTGCGATGTGAATTCCACACCAGAATTGAGAAGTCATGTAAGGAAAAATTAGCTAGAAGACGAATACATGTTAACCTTTTCACACTACATCACAGCTAATCTTTCAAAATGGTATAAAAATGATGGTTAATGACAAGCATTAAAGAGGAAGGAGTGTGAGAGGCATACCTGAGCATGATGAAAATATTTACAAATAGATGTTTGTCACTAGGAATGCAGCCACTATTCCAAGAGAATAGGCAATAGCTTAAAGATTCTATGCCAGGTATAGGCAACCTTCGGCACTCCAGATGTTTTGGACTACACCTCCCATGATGCTTTGCCAGCATTATTGGTGAAAGAGCATTATGGGGGATGTAGTCCACAACATCTGGAGTGCCAAAGGTTGCCTACCCCTGTTCTATGCATTCTGTACACAGAGGTCTTCTAACATAACACACGTTTGATTTCCATTAAATGGACACTATAGTTACCATAACCAGTATAGCTTAAATGGACTGTATTGTCATAAAAACAACTTTAGTTTAAGGAAGCAGTTTTAGTGTATAAATCATGATCCTGGAGTCTCACTGCTCAAACCTCTGCAATTCGGGAGTTAGATCACTTTTGTTTCTGTCCATGCAGAAATAGTCACACCTCCCCTGGCTGTGAGTCACACACAAGGCATGAAAAAAAAATGGTTTCACTTTCAATTAGATGTAACTTACTTTAAAAGTTCTTACTACCTGCTCTCTAAAGTGAACTTTAATCATACACAGAATGTTTCTGTGGGGTCTAGCAAGCTTTATTATCAGTGCAGGGGATAATACATTTTAAATTAAATATAATTTGCAATGACGGAAGTATAAACATTAGCTCACTCTTTACAGGAAGTGTTTAGGAATGCAGTGCAAGTCACATGCAGGTGACTAGGTGCATAAATAAAGTGATTTAACTCCTAAATGGCAGAGAATTGAGCAGTGACACTGGAGGGAAACTATCTATACACCAAAACTGATTCAATAAGCTAAAGTTGTTTTGGTGACTATAGTGTCCCTTTGACCCCTTAAGGACACATGACACGTGTGACATGTCATGATTCCCTTTTATTAAAGAGGTTTGGTCCTTAAGGGGTTTATGTAGTAGTTATCGTGCCTGCAGGCTTTTCAATGTAAATACACTCCTTTTCAGAGAAAAGGCAGTGTTTACATTGCTGCCTAGACACATAAATAGCTATTTTAACACTATAGTGTCGGGAATACATGTTTGTGTTCCTGACACTATAGTGTTCGTTATGTAACAAATAACCACAAACAGACACTCACCTTCCACTTCAAGTCAACAACTTCGTAAAAGTGGTAAAAGTCACTTAATCTGCAAGCACAAACTGCATGAAAATCCGTAAACAATAAACACCATACACAAACCAAAACATAGTGAATAAGAAAAACTTCTTGACAAAATAATAACCACATTTTCAGCACTAGTTTACATTGAGCACACACAAGAACGCATATATATATATATTAAACCAAATAATGGTTGCTAGGAAGATACAAATGGAGGTTGGTAGCAACATTCCATAAATTGTCAGAACTTCTTACACAAACCACTAGTTCACTAACCTGAGATTATCTGCACCACTCTGCTTCAAGGCCCTGAAGGTCAAATATCGGTCCCGAGCAGACATGCGGGGCTTGTAAAATCTCATCATCCCATCGAAATGACAAAAGGAGACCCCAGGGAGTCCCTGAAAACCGAGGGATAAAGATTAAAACAAATCCTCAACTCTTTTTTAAATGTCCGATTTAAAAGCAAACTAGTACAGGTTGTTGCTGCAGCAGATGCAGGGAAACATACAATTAACAGCACAAAAATAAGAATGGTAGAAACGGTGAAAGAAATAGAGCTGCACATGTCTAGCTTCCAATAGCATAGCATTTAATAAGAAATAGTCACAGAGAGCATATAAATTAGATTAATGGGGTTTAAAAAGTCCTTTAGAATATACGAATCATAGTTCTAGCATCTTACGATTTCCACATTGCTTGGAATCCATTAGTTTCAAACTGTGAATTTTGTTTGTGATGAAAGACACTCTAGGCATCATATCAACCTATGTTCATTGCATCCATATGATACAATGAGATCACCTGTCACAGTCCCCTTTAAAAAGTTATTTGCAGCTGCAGAGATTTGCAAATATTGCTGCAGCAATAAGCCGCTGCTTTTCTTTGTGATGTAAAGGAGGAAAGCACCCTACCTACCTCCTCTGACAATAGAAATATCTGCATGTTATGTAGATGCAGGCTGTGCAAACTCCCCATCTCTCCTATGCATCACTAAAAGAATCCAAGCCATGGCTCTACACATGCATCACTGACTGATCAGGAGAATGCCGTGTACAAGCACAGTCCAATAATGAAAAAAAGAGCTGTGAATAAACTAATAGCGCCATGGCTGCTACAATGATCAGATCTGATTAATAGAATTATGTTAAGGGTTGAACTACATATCCCACGATCCTCTGATGCACCCCATGCTACTCTTTTTTTTTTTAATATTATTCAAATGTGCCTTTGGTGATGGCAGCCAAAGAGCTCAAATTCTAAGGGAGCAATATACTCACTATAGCAATTTAAACTAATAATCTAAATGAAGTTGTTTTAGTGCCTACTGTTGTTCCCCTCTCCTTAGTGGCCTCAATTTATTAGAGGGCTTGGAAGCACAGCTACGAACACGTACAAACCCTCTGGCTATGAGAGCCAGGACTCTCTGTGTTCTCCAGATACTTATGTCCACTTATGACATGATGATACCCTGCACTTACCACGGTCACCGTATTTTTCTTTATTATTATTATTGTATTTTTTTTTTTTTACTGCGTCTACTATTATTTATCCCACTTTTTATTTGGTATAAAACTGTTTTGGTAGGTGGGAAAAATGTTATGCTTGCCTGATTGAGAGGGTTTATTGAGTTACCGGATTGTAAATACAGACCATAAAATCAGTGATCGAGGGGTGCCTCGAAGATATGGCAAGGTTACTTTGGTTTTAGCATAATTTTAGCACCTACTTATTACTTGGTGTATTAGCATACTCCTGGCCTTCTGATCCAAGTACATCCTATTAAAACTTTCCCAACCATTAGATACACCTTGTTACATAGTCTGCCAGTACTTTGCAACATTGAATTCTGTTTTTTGTTTTGGATATAATTAGATCTCTTTGTAGGGATTAGCTATACATAGAATACAATCCTACATCAAGGATTATTATGTTGCAAGCTACTTTCAGACTGTGTGTATATTCTTTAGAGTCTCCTACATGTGCAGTGCTGTAACGATCTGCCATAGAGAATCACTGCATGCAATGATTCTTTGACAGAATCACAGGCACATTGCGGCAGACGCAGTGCGTGCACCTATCGCCATTGCTCCTCTATAAAGAGTATTGGATTGAACCATCATCCTGTAGGCATTCCTCCAGAATGACATCAAATGAAGGTACTCTGCACTAGAGAGAAGGGGAGTAGATTATTTATTTTCATTTTTTGAAATTGCAGCTCTAAAACTAACTTGGGACATTAAGTCTGTAGCATTAGGCATACAGAAATCTCTTTTAATTTATCAGACCACAGCAATTTGCTACCTGTGGAGTTTTTATTCATCGATTCATTCAGGCTTAGATTAAAAGGAATTAGGTTTGTTCGAACCACCTGAAATACATTTGCGCACAAGTCTAGTTATTATCTTCTTCAATCATTAAGTTTTGTGATGAGATTAGAGATTTACTTCTGTTGGCCCTTGAATGCAAATCATGCTTGTGCATCCATCTGTAAACAGTGGACCGTTGCATAACTTAATCATCCCGAACAGCAGAAACTACAAGCAACTGCAATACTTATAATTTCAATTTTCTTACTAATTTATGTTGCTACATTTACTAATGTATATCTCTTTCTCAGGGCAGGATGAATAGGAAACAGTACTCTAAAATTTGTAGAAATAGGGCTACCCACTTCCTAACAGAAAGTTTGTGGAATTAGCTCTACAAACCCCATAGGAAAATAGTGGAAAATTATAGGGAAACTCTAGGCACCCAGACCACTTCAGCTTATTGAAGTGGTCTGGGTGCAAACTCCCATCACCCTTAACCCTGCAGTGGTAATTATTGCAGTTTTTATAAACTGCAATAATTACCTCTGAGGGTTAACTCCTCCTCTAGTGGCTGTCTATCAGACAGCCACTAAAGGGACTTGCGGTCAGTTATCGGACGCTGGACGTACTCACGCTCTGCATGAGGACCTGCAACGTCAGATTTCCCCATAGGAAAGCATTGAATAATGCTTTCCTATGAGGAGATCCTAATGCGAGCGCGGCCATTGGAGGAGCATGGGCAGAGCTGAGCCAAGGCCAAAAGACATCGGCGCTGGACCCAGGTAAGTGACTGAAGGGGCCACGGGGAGGGGGCCTTGACAAACGGGAAATCTATAGAGCCAGGAAAACAAAGTCATTTTCCTGGCACTATAGATTCCCTTTAATGATGTTGTGGTTAATAATCAGTAAAAAGAAAATTAAAGTAAGTATGGAACAATTTTGTTTGACTGTAAAACTATTGCAGCATTAACCAAATATAAACAAAGGGACAGAAAACACAGATTTAAGATACCTGTAACAAACATTTTCACCAAGAAATGCCATATAACAACACAGTGAAGTGCAAATATCCTCACAAGATGTGAGCAGAACACTCCACTATTTCAGCCCTACAAAAGGAGCGCACTACACAGGTTGCACATTTGCAACCCCATGGCATTTAATGACATACGGTATCCTGGGTAACCCATTCTATATCAAGAGACATGGAGCAAAGGATAGTAAAACTACCAAATGTATAAAAGGGAAAAATATATAGATAATTCCCAATGGCATTGGCTAATTACAAGCCAACGTCCTGGAAGCTAGTAAGTGGTTATCCAGAATATCAAGGCAAACTTGACAGGCAATCAAAAATCTAATTTTAAAATGAACAAGGGTTCAGGCAAACTCAAACATCAAGATCATAGTAGAGATGTTTAGGTGAGATCCCTAACTTCTGAATACAGGAAACCCAAGGAAGACACTTTTGCCTGCTTGCTGTTTTATGGATCTACAGGGAAACAGAAACTACACTTTCCTCGCTTGGATTTAAAAATTAAACTACAAAATAACTAAATGCTTTAACATAAGCCAGGCAATCATAAACAACACAAAAACATGGATGTGAGGTCTTTCAGAGAGTAGGCACATGGATTTTTTGCATAAAACAAGCCTTACGTATTTTGGCAACACAATAAACATCAGAAGATCTGCAGCATGGTTAAGTAAATTCAGGGCTGCTCTCGGTGAACCCCTATTTCCTTGTTTTACAGAAGGCTTGAGAGTTTGGTTCACCAGTATCCTGTGATAGAACATGATTTCTATACCTGTAGAGAGCAGCAGCCCTGTGTTACACAATAACTTACTGCTTCTGCCTCGGGATACCTGTGAGTTGAAGAGCAGCTGGTAGCTGTGCTGGATGGCTGTGCGCTTGTGCAGTAGCAAAGACTTGAACTTCTTTTTTTCTATATCATTGAATGTGTCAAAAACAACAGCCAGGAGCTGGGGAGATGAAGCAATCAAAAGGTCAATATCTGTTTGCTAAGGAAATTGTAGGTGAAGACAACCTACAGCACATACAAACAAAAATAAAAAGCAGTAAAGGGATTATACATACATGGCAAACCACCACACTACACTAAGCACATCGGATCTGGGAATTAATAAGTGATTCACATTATCCAGTTAAAACAGCACAGATGCATTAGGTGATAATTATTATTATTACTACTAGTATTTATATAGTGTCAGCATATTCCGAAGTGCTTTACAATATTATCAAAGGGGGAGATTTAACAATAAATGAGACAATTACAAAAACGTACAGGAATAATAGGTTGAAGAAGACCCTGCTCAAACGAGCTTACAGTATACAGGAGGTGGGGCTTAAAACACAACAGGAAAGGAGGTAGGAATCAAACAAGGTGGACTGAAGCAGAGCTGGAGGAGAGAATAGAGTGCTGCCCTTTAGGAGAGAGCAAGAGGCAGGTATGTGAGGTAGAGGTTATCCATAAGCTTTCTTAAAGAGGTAGGTTTTGAAGACTTTTTAAATGATTAAAGACTAGGGGAGAGCTTGATGGTCGTAGGTAGGCCACCCGCGAGCAGTCCTGCAAGCGTGAGTTGGCTGTACGGGTGCGAGCAGCAGACAGGAGACGGTCATGGGCAGAGCGGAGAGACCGAGAAGGGGCATAGATGCGAATCAGTGAAGAAATGTAGGAGGGGCTAGAATTGGTCAGTGCTTTAAAGGTGTGCATTAGTACCTTGAATTGACTCCTATAGGATACAGGAAGCCAATGTAAGGACTGACAGAGGGGAGAGGTGTGAGAGGAGGCTACAGGAGAGGAAAATCAGTCTATCTGCAGCATTCATTACAGACTGTAGCGGGGCAATATGACTATGCTACAGGGACCATGCATGGGCGTCAGGAATTGGTTAATCTTTCCACTAATCCTCTTTCAGGGCAAGTTATAAATGATGGTTGCTAATATGATACCACACTTTTCTCTGTAATGATCTTTGACATTACAAACTCAACATTATAACAGTGCTTACATGACAGTATATCTGGTTCTCTACCTTGTGAAATGTCTAAAAATTACATGTGAGGCAATAAAATCTTCTGATGAAGCTAAAATAAGGCTGATGCAAGCCTTACAGTCTCCATTTTATTGCACTAGATACGGACCCATCCGCTTCAAAAATTGAAAGGGGGGAAGAAAAACAAAACAAACAAAAAAAAAAAAAAACTTACCTGCAATCTTGATGCCTATGAACTGTTGCTCCATCTCCTCTGAGAACAACATACATTTTGATCTTGGTACAAATTAATGTGGCAAAATGATGCATCAATTCGAAATCCATTTACACATTCGGCATCATCATGCTGTGCATGATAATGCCAAATGTGAATGTCTTTGAAAAAAAAAAGTCTTAAAATAGAAGAGCCTCTAATGGCTGCTAGTCTGATAACCACTAGGGCATGGCTGCCCAAAAGGTAGATACCCATTTGTTGTAAAACTACAATAGCCATGGTGCTTTGCATTCATCAATAACAAAGCATCATGGAGGCTGTAGTTTTAATCTACCTTTTGGGCACCCATTCATTAGAGGATTGGTTTAGGTAAAGTTTAAGCATTGCTTTATCTCGGAAACCTTTAACACTGCCAGACAAAAACGGCATCAACGCACTAAAATCACTTCAGTAGGATGAAGTGGCATTGGTGCCTAATGTCCTTTAAATGTTGAAGAAAACATAAAATAATTATAAAAAATTATTATTATTATAAGCTAAAGTGGAAAAAATAAAATTAAAAGAAAGGTGTTCCTGGTTTTTATATTTTATTTATATTTAATGTTGTGTGCCCTTTCTGACCATTCACAAAATATATAATATGCATGGATGAGATTCCCTTAAAGAACAAAGGAACTAACAAATGGCATACATTCTAGGTTTCCTTTAAGTCCAGAAGTTGGACGATTGCCTCCCCTTTTAAGGTGTTAAACAGATATTTTAAGTTGTACATTAGCATGTAATCTCACTACCACAATGCACAGAATATATACATACCTGTCTTGTCACTCACATTTGGCTGCTTTGGTGAATTTCAGTGTCACATACATATATACCCACAACAAATCATAACATATAAACACAATTGTAAGCTAAAGTTCATGCTGTGAAACGCTCACAAGATTCATGATGAAGTAGAGTTCAATGGACAGATAGACAATGAAGAAGATGCAGGACCATGGGTTGCGAGAATATGCCGGCATCATGACATCCGGGAAACTGCAAAGCAAGAAGTGCGTTGTCATTTCAGTGAGAACAATAACAGAAAATAATGACAGAAAAAACAATGTGTGGAACTTACTTGGCAGTTGTAAGAAGCACAAACAGGCTGACCAAGCTATTTTCCAGACTGCTAAAATACTGAAAAATGTAAAGGATCATATCAAAAAGACATTAATCCAAACCACAGATTAGAGATAGTTCAGAAAATTCATATATAGGAGGAATATATTAGTAATTCAGTTAAAGCACAGGCAAAAACAAAGATATACATGAAATGTTGTATCTCAAGAGCACTTCAGTAATCAAAACTTACAGGATCAGATAGATTTGGAGAAAACAAGTAGAAACCTAAAGGGATAAAACAAAAATAACTTAATATTTTACATGTGTAATGAACTGGTCTATGTCTGTGGTGACAGTATATATATATATATATTTATATCCAGGCCGAACACAGATTGGTCTGTCTGGTCTTAGAATCCCTTGAAGAGACACAAGTTGCTGGGATTGTGTACCGAAACATCTGCACAGAATATGGATTGGACCTTCCTAAGTCCAGTTGGAAGATACCACAAAGGGTAGTTGAGAATGACAGGGCTAAGATCCTGTGGGACTTCAAGATCCAGACAGACAAGCAAGTGCTGGCCAACCAAACAGACATAGTGGTGGTAGACAAGAACCGAGACTGCAGTCATGGTGGATGTGGAAATACCCAGTGACTATAACATCAGGAAGAAGGAACACAAGAAGGTGGACAAATACCAAAGACTGAAAGAAGAACTAGAAAAGAAGTGGAAAGGTAGTAGTAGTCCCAGTTGTGATATGAGCACTCTGGGCTGTGACTCCCAAGCTGTGATTCCAGGTGGGACATCTGAGATCGCTGTCCAGAAGAGTGCAGTTCTAGGAACAGCTAAAATACTGCGCAGAACCCTCAAACTCCCAGGCCTCTGGTAGAGGACACAAGAATGAGGAATAAACCCTCAAACTCCCAGGCCTCTGGTAGAGGACCCAAGAAGGAGGGGTGAGAAAATAAATTAAAATTTTATATAAACTATCTGCTTGTTCATTGCCATGAACTATTGTCAATCACCTGTTGTATTTGTGGATGACAAGGGATTATGGGACATTTCATCAGTTAATAGCTGGTGCTATGGATATCTTAAGCCCTTCACAACATTAGAACATTTTATACTGTCCTAAAAATAGTGGTCTTTAACACCATTAGAATGGCATGTAATGTCCTGTAGTAACTGTGTGAACAGGGTTCAATCCCTACCTAAACCAGGGAGACCCAGACATTAATCAATACTTGGGGCTCCCCTCTGTCAGCTGGAGCCATATTTAGTGGCTACAAAATGACAGATGAGCTGTAAGCAGCACTCCGAGTGAGAGCTGCATTTGGATGTTTAAATTAATTTAAAATCACTGCTGCTGAGCAATTACGCTAAGCAGCGATGATTCTCACCTTGTCCCCAGTCTGAGAGAGACCCTCAGGATCTGAAATGACCCTGATAGTGTGATTTATTAATCAGGACGGATATGTAAATCTATTTTGTGTTCTTTCTTAGTTGCACTTGATGCAATTTTTTTTTTTACCCATATTTAGTTTAAGTTGCATTTATACTTAAGGTTGTGTTACAAATACATATAGGATATAAAGAGAATTGCATCCCATTTAAACCCAGTATATAACATAATAAAGCAGGGCTACGATCAGAGATGTTGGAGCCCCTGACAGAGCTCAGATGTTCAGAATATTTGTATGTGTATGCACCCTGGCTACTTTGCAAAACAAGTTATCACAAAGGAACTCTTACCTAGTATAGCAAAAATTACCATGAAGAATAGGAGGAGAAGCAGGATATCTATAAAAGGTGGAAGAGACTGGAAGATCTGACGCAGATTCCTGGAGATAAAAAATATAATTTTTTTTTAGTGGCAGGTCTCATTCAACACTTAACTGCAAAAATACTTGTTCTTAACCAATGAAGCAAATTCAAATATACACTTATCAAAGCAACAAAACAAGGATACAAACAATACTGTATGGATCAACTAACCCAATTCTTCAAGAAAAGCTTAGATTTTTTTTTTTTTCAATTTGACAATTTTTATTTTCAAGTTCAAACTTGGGGTACAGAAGGAAAGAGGGGTGGGGGGAAGAAACACATTTGTACATTTCCAGCTTTACAGTTTCAACGTTTGCCATCCTGAACATAGCTTCTAGCGTAGTTGTAAATATATTCAAATTTGCTCACTTTGTCGCGACAGGCCAGTTCCTTGTTCTGTTCCCTGTGTTTGCACAAGTGGCTTTTTTTTTTTTTTTTTCTATATGGGTGACAAATTTCTTTTTGTGGTGTTTAGACGTGAACAAGGGGGGTAGGTGTGCGGGGATACAGAAAGGAATAAGGGAGGGGTAGGGGGTTACGTATCTTCCGTTTACATGGCATCGCGGTACATTCAATTGGTAGGTATGCGTTTTTCGTGACATATTAGTTTACCCATGGTGTTACCCATCATGTTTGTCTGTATGATGCTATCCTCGTAGTCTAGTCCCTGGATGGTGCTGGGGGTGCCATGTCAGTTGTGGAAGCACGTATAATGTATGATATACAATATAAACGATGTAAACGTTAATAATAACTATATACATGGAACTTGTCCCACCTATGCAATTTTTACTGTATGACTGATTCCCTGTTGCGCTGGGTTCGATCTAGGCTTGTCAATTGGGTCTGGTGCCTTTCCCGTCAGTGTTTGTTTCTCCACATTGCTAATTGTATACATTTGGATTTGTTCCCTTTTCTATACCTTGTATTTGTTTAGTTTGTTACGGTGGGTCGTGCGTTGCGTGTCTGTGTGTTATGTGGGGTGCTTGTTCGAATTGGAGCCACAGATTGTAAGCTTCTGTGGTTGTGCGGTCCTCTTGCCCCAGTGTCCCCGCAAATTTTTCATATGAGACATTGGTAGATGTTAGGGCTATTATTTCTGTTTTTGTGGGAATCACCGACGATTTCCATTGTCTTGCTATTAATGTCGTTGCCGCTATCGTGATAAGATAGACTAGTTTTCGAACGGGTTTCGTGATATTTTGTGGTGAGATGTGTAATAGATATAATTCTATGCTGGGTTGAATCAATACCCCTGTGCTGTTTGTAACTATTTCTTCCACTGTTTCCCATACTGGGCGTATGAGTGGACAGGTCCACCAGATATGTAATGTGTCCCCTTTCGCCTTTAAGCATCTCCAGCACTTGGCTTCGGAGTTGTTGTACATTTTATTTAATTTGCTAGGGGTGAGGTGCCACCTATAGAGTAGTTTTCTGGCGATTTCTAGGTGGGAGGCGCATCGTGTCGTGCTTTTGTGTGCTACGAAGGCTCTACCCCATTCCTGGGGAGTTAGTTCCCTCCCAATATCTGTGTGCCAATCTTTTTGAAATCCCCAGAGGTGCTTTTGAGGGCTCCCAGTGAGTATGTTATAGCATAGTGATATAGTTTTTTCTTGCTTTTTTTTGTCGAGGCATTTAGTTTCAAAGTGAGTTAGTTTTGGTTCACCAGTCATTGGTTGAGTGGGTGTATGTGCAGTCCGTAGTGTGTGGTGAAGTTGCATGTATGAGAATTGGGCCCTGTTTGGTATATTATGATGTGTTTGTAATTCTTTGAAGCTCCTCAGGGAGCCGTCTTGAGTTAGCTGGTGAAGGTGGGTTAGGTCGTGTTCAGCCCAAATTTTATAGTTGAACGAGGGGTCTAGGGTGTGCAGCGTTTTTAAGGGGGTTGCGGGGGACCACTCATGTCTCGAGCAGACCCTGTGCTTGTTTTTGTCCCAAATAGATAGCATGAGTTTGGTTGTCGGCAACATCTGGGGGGTGCGGGGTCGTATTTCCCTTGGGGCCCATATGAGGTGTGCTACGTGCCTCCCTTCTAGTCTGCTGGATTCTAGTTCCAGCCATTGTGGGGGTTGTGCTCTAGAGTGGCACCGTAGCACATTTGCCAGTTGCGTAGCTCTGTGATATTCTCTTACGTCTGGAAATCCCAGTCCTCCCTCTCTTATTGTCCGTGACAGGAGTCGCCATGCTACCCTGGGTTTTTTGTTTTGCCATCCAAATCTCAAAAGAGTTGTCTGGAGGTTTTTAAAATATTTGGCGGGGACAGGTATTTGTAATGTTCGGAATAGATAAAGAATTTTTGGCAGAATCATCATTTTGATAGCCGCACATCTGCCCACCCACGATAGGTATTTGCCTTCCCAGGTCTTTACTGTATTTACAATTTCTGTGTAGAGTTTTTGGTAATTCATTGTGAAAAGTGAGTTATATGTTTTCGTGATTTTGATTCCCAAAAATGTGAGGTGGTCTTCTCTCCAGTCATATTGAAATGCCTTTTTGAGTCTGGTCATTGTGTTGTCTTCTATGCCTATTCCCAATGCTTGGGTTTTAGTGGTGTTTAGCTTGTAGTATGAGTGTGCGCTATAGGATTGAAGTTCTTTTTGTAGATTTGGGAGGGAGATCAATGGTTGGGATAGTGTTAAGAGGACATCGTCTGCGAATAGGTTGAGTTTGTACTCTCTGTCTCCTATATTTATGCCGTGTATGTTTGAGTTACGTCTAATGGCTTCCGCGAGGGGTTCCAGGGCTAACACGTAAAGAAGTGGTGACAGGGGACATCCCTGCCTAGTCCCATTTGTGATGTTGAATGGATCTGATCGGGAACCTGAGGATGATACCGCGGCGTTCGGGGAGCTGTATAGGGCTTTGATTGCTGTCAGATAAGTGGGGGGAAAGTCAAATTTTTTCAGAGTAGCCTCTAGGAATTGCCAATTCAGTCTGTCGAATGCTTTTTCTGCATCTAGGGAGATTATGAGACCCTGGGTCCGGTCCATGTGTATCGACTGTATTATGTCTATTACCTTTCGTGTATTGTCTGAGCCTTGCCTTCCGTGTACAAAGCCTACTTGGTCATTTGAAATAAGGTCAGGGAGGATGTTTTTGAGTCGGTTAGCTAAAATTTTTGCGTACAGTTTGGTGTCCGAGTTTAGTAATGATATGGGGCGGAAATTTTGGCAGTGTGTCGGGGGTTTACCTGGTTTCGGTAGGGTAATTATTCTAGCTGCTAAGTACTCCGCTGGGAAGCTTCCTGTCTGAAGAGCGTGGTTGAAAGACCTGTTGAGGTGTGGGGCCAGGAGTGGAGCGAATTTCTTATAGTACTCGTTCGTGAAGCCATCTGGCCCTGGTGCTTTCCCTAGGGGCATGGATGTTATACATTCTACAATTTCGTTTTCTGTAATGGGAGCTTCTAGAAGTTGTTGCTGGGTTTTGGATAGAGTTGGTAGCGGGATGTTTGATAAGTAGGATTGTATACCAGCCTCCGTGGGCTGTGGCGTAGTCGGATCATTAGAGAGGTTATATAATTGGCTGTAATATTGGGCAAATTCTTTACAAATGCCTGAGGGGAGGTGGATTTTTTGGCCCTTTTTATTTAGGATATGTGCTATCCGTGTTTGTTGCTGTCTCTCTCTTAGGTGTTGTGCTACAAGCTTACTGGCCCTGTTACCTTGGACGTATGTGCGTGTGTTTAAGCGCTTCAGCATGAGGCCAAATTTGTGGAGTCTAATCTCACTTAGTTTGTTTTGGAGTGAATTGATTTGTGTTTTATGCTCTGCTGATGGTTGTTTTTGGTTATCTTTGTGAAGCTCTGCCAATTTTTGTTTGCATTGCATAGTTTCTTTTTCTGATCGTTTCTTTAGATATGTGGCTCTGCTTATTAATGAACCCCTCAGTACCGCCTTGTGTGCAAGCCAGATCATGTGGGGGTTCAGGTCGCTTGAGGCGTTAGTGGTAAAGTAGTTATGCAGTTCTTTTTCTAGGGTTTTACAGAATTCTGAATCTTTGATTAAATAGTCATTGAGACGCCATGGGTTTCTGTGTTTGTAGTCATAGGAGCTCGTCAATGATAGTGTCATTGGTGCATGATCTGACCAGTCAGCGGTCAAAATTTCGCATTCTAAGATGTTGGACATTGTGGATTCGTGCATGAAGCACCCGTCAATTCTAGAGTATGTATTGTGTACTTTGGAGTGGTGTGTATAGGCCCTTTCTGAAGGGTGGAGGGCTCTCCACACGTCTCTCAGTCCATATGTGGCTAGTAAGTTCCCAAGGCTTTTGCCTTGTTTTTTCATGGTTTTGTAGTGGGGCGACGTGGGCGGCCTAGTTGAATCTAGTGTGGGGTCCAACACAAGGTTTATGTCCCCGCTTATGACTAGAGTGCCTTTTCTTATTTTTTCAATTTTAGAGAGGACTGCATGCAGAAAATTTCTTTGGTTGATGTTTGGTGCATATATATTCGCCAGTGTGTATTCTGTTTCGTTAATGGTGCAGTGCCATACGATGTATCTCCCCCCCTGGTCTATTAATTGGTTGTGTGATATGATCGTGAGGTCTTTGCTGAGGAGAATTGAGACGCCTCGAGATTTTCTCGGGGTGGTGGAATGTGCTTGGTGGGGGTACATGTTAGGACTTACGTGGGGGTGAGCATCGGTTCTAAAGTGTGTTTCCTGGAGAAATACTATGTCTGCATGCGTTTTTTTAAGTTCCCTGCTCAGAGTGTGACGCTTTTGTGGGATATTTAATCCCTGTACATTGTGGGAGTATAGTTTTAGACTGAATGTATGTGGGAATTGGATGTGCTATCTTGGTCTTCACTGTCTCGAGTGGTGGCTAACGGTGGGTCGCCGCTCTTGCTCTGAGAAGAGTGGCTGGGGGTGTTTTTCGTTATGCGTAGGTGTGGCGGATGTACCGTATTCGGTTCTGTAAGGCGGATATAGTGTACTAGTGGAATGTTAACCCTGCCTTTGTGTGAATTGCATACAGATATAGATGGTGTGATTTGCCTTTGAGCATAGGTGAATCGAAAACCTTTAACATATTTACAATAACATAAACAAAACATTGTTAGAGATCTGGCCCTTGTGCCCTGGTCGTCCATCAGGGCGCAATTCAACCCGCTAGTTCCTCCTACTAGCTCTCCCTATCTGGGGGGTTGGGAAGTCCGGTTCTGGCTTCCTGGCCGAGTCAGTGGGCGCCACCCCAAGCCAGCGGCTCTAATCTAGGCTACCTTGGGGATTTGTTTTGAGGGTTGTCTAACTCAAGTGGAGTGTCGGTAGGATCAGAGGGAACATACCATCAATCCTGTGTTCTTGATGCGGAGATGGGCAAGTGGGTTTTTATCGTAGAGGTTTGGAATTATCACTTATCTAGGGGGGGCTGCGGGCGTTGGATTGGCAGAGAGGCAACAACTTGCTCCCCCGATCCCAACTTTTAGTCCGTGTTACCGGTGACTCTATACTTTACTTTGCCTCGCGTCCCCTAGGGGGCGGGGGTAGCAGTGGCCCTTGTGTGGATTCCCGCCTGTTGGCTCGCTTTGTGGGAAGGATGGTGCGCATGGTTTAGGTAGCACTGTTAGGGACCAATGGTCGATATTGACTGTGGAGCTTCTGCTCTTGCTTGGTTTTATGCCCCTAATGTCTTCTGACCTTGTACAGGTGTTACTCCTGTGGCTCCGCCCTCCCTCCCTCCATGCCTCACCACTGTGAGCCCTTGATCCCACTTCCCATTTTGGTTATGTTGGGTGGGTGGGGTAGTTAGTGGGTATGTTTTCAGGGGGGGCTGTAGTGACGGAGACCATCCCGCGTGGGTCGTGTCTTGCTGTCTAGACGGGGTCCCTGCCCCATGATGGGTTAGCTTTCCCCTCCTGCTGCCCCTTCACTCCCAGTTCCTCTCCCCCCTCCCGTGTCCCCCTCCCCCTTTTCTCTGCAAATATGGATTATTGATCTATAGTGTTAGCACAAATACAGGTGTAGCGATTATATTACCCTCTCCCGTCGTGCTTCCCTTGGTCGACAGTGAACAGTGTCCCAAAGTCCCTGAGAAAGATTAGCAATGTCTATGGTGTATGTTGCTTAGTTCTCTCCGCATGGATGTCATTCGTCATCCCTTGGCTTCCATCACTGTGCTGCGGTATGTTTCGGCGTTTTGGAGTGTTTCACCGTCTGCCATTCTTGGTGCAATGTCGGCCGTTTGATTGGTTTGTCTCTGTTTGTAGCTAGAGAGATGCCCCAAGAGCGCAGCAGCCGGGTTCCTTCTTCTGCTGTTGAGGCGATTTGGGTCTTGCCGTCTCGTAGGATCAATAGCTTGATTGGGAATCCCCAGCGGTACGGAATTTTCCTGTTCCTGAGTTCAGCTGTGACGTCCTTGAAAGTTTTCCTGCGTCTAAGAGTTTCGGCCGAAAGGTCTGCGTATATCTGGACCTCTTTATATCGGTCCGGTAGATCTTGTTGAGGTTTCTTGGAGCGCAGGAGGGATTCTTTTACGTGATAGTAGTGTAGTCTGAGCATCACGTCCCTCGGTATTGAGGCTGGCAGATGTTGTGGCTTTGCCACCCTGTGCGCCCTATCCATGAGTAGCATGTCGATTGGGATATCAGGAGCCAAGATATGGAACAGGTCTGTGAGGTACGTCATGAGGTCTGGAGCCTGTACGTCTTCAGGTATACCTCTCACCCGGAGATTTTGGCGCCTGGATCTGTCCTCAAGGTCCATGTTTTTTATTTCTTGCTTCTCAAGCTTTGCTTCCAGCTCCTCAATTTTTTCCGCCATGCTGTTGTGTGCTTCGGCATATTCCGCCATTTTACTTTCCATGTGGGCTGTACGGTTTCCTATGTCGGCAATATCTTTCTTTAGGTCCGCTATTGCAGCATGGACTGTCGTTTGTATTTTTGCAGCCATGTCATCTAACATTGTCTGGAACTGCTCACCATGTATTTGCATGGTGCTGGGAGCAGGCTGTTGTGGGGAATGTGGCTGGGGAATTTCCTGTTCATCCCCACTGCCGTCGCCATCTTGTCCTGTCTGAGCCTGTGACTTGTGGCTTGCCGTTTTCGCGGCAAAAAACGAGTGTTTTTCCTTGGCATCGGTCACCCTCCTTGCTCCCCTCTGTGACATGATGGCAGTACCCCACTCTGGGGAGTATATGTGCCGGTAAGATGCTGATTGTGCCGCTGTGTTTAGCCGTCGGCTCGGGAGCTCTCCTCTCACGCGGCCATTCCGTTCGAGCGCAGGCTCCGCCCCCAAAGCTTAGATTTTTAGACAATCACTCTAACATAAACACCATAAGCTTGCATCTGTACTGTACTTTGAAAGACAAAAACTGGACAAACTTTATAACCTTGTAAATGTATCCAAAAATATATCAAACAATACAGATAATGAAAAAAAACAATACAAACATAATGAACCCATCATAGCAAACGCGGGTGGATGTAATATATGTGCATATGATCTCTTCAAAATTACAAAATTTTAACAAGCATTTTCAAGTTGCATCTGTTTTCACTGACAAACCTCCACATGATGAATAGTATTAATACCCTCTCCTACTCGCTATGTCCTTTTGTCCTTTTCTTACGAAAATGTCACTTGCTTTCTACCTGTACAGCTAGACATGCACGTTATTTCTACTGGTGTGCAATTTACTATACTGGTCAGTTCTGCATCTACATATACAATTTAGATTACCTCCGTACAGCTCCACAGTATCTACAGTCCACCAAGAAAATGGGGCGCAGGGCTCGAGTTACGCGCATGTGTGAAGTCTGTCTCACTAGCACTACAATGGCTTCGATAAGTTGCAACAGTAGCACACCACTCTGTAGAGTAAGGATGAGTATATTAACAATGGTTGCCAATTAATAAAGTATTTACAAACACATGCAGATCTGCATTCAAATGCACTTAGATGCCTTCTTTTTTTTTTTTTTTTTTTTAAATCATCTTTTTCCACATCAATCTACACTAAATACCCCATAACAAAGGCAAAACCAGATTTTTCACACCATTGCAGATAAAAAAAAAAATTTAAGAAAATAAATCATTTTTTTAATTTACATTTAAGTTTTCAACCCCTTAACTCAGTACTTAGTTGAAGGACCTTTGGCAGCGGCAAAAGACTCATGTCTCTTTGGGTATGATGTAAATCTTTGTACACCTGGATTTGGGTCAATCCTGCAGATCCTCTCAAACTCTGTCACGTAGGATGGGCACTGTTGGTGTACATCCATTTTTAGGTTTCTCCAGAAATATTTGATTGTATTCAAGTCCAGGCTCTGGTTGGGTCACTCAAGAACATTTACAGAGTTGTTCCAAAGGCACTTTTGCTTGGTCTTGACTGCATGCTTAGGGTCAGTGTCCTTTACAAAGGTGAATCTTTAGAGACATCCTCAGTGCTCTGGTTTTCATGAAGGAGATCTCTGTATTTTGCTGGGTTCAGCTTTACCACAACCTAAATAGTCTCCTAATCTCTGCTGCTGAAAAACACCTCCATGCTACTATTTCCATGCTTCACTGTTGGGATATTATTGTGGAAGTAATGAGCGGTGCTTAGTTTGCCCCAGAATTGATGCCAAACAGTTAAAACTTTGCTTCTTGCAGTCTGAGAGTCTTTTTTGTAAAGTCCAAGTGGGCTTTCATGTGTCATCTAATGGGGAAAAGGTCCCCATTTGGTCAGTCTGTCATGCCATTTTGGTGGAGTATTGCAGTGATGGTTGCCCTTCTGCAAATTTCTCCCATCTTCACATGTGATCTCTGGAGCTCACCCAGAGTGACCATTTGGTTCTTGGTCACCTCTCTTATGAAAACCTTTCTCCCATGATTGCTCAGCTTGTCTGGGTGGCCAGCTCTAAAAAGATTAATGGCTGTTCCAAACTACTTCAATAGCCTTTCCCAGATCTGTTCCCCCACATAATGCTGCCTCTGAGCTCATGGCTTGTTTCATGCTCTGAAGGGCATTTAACCCCTTAAGGACACATGACATGTGTGACATGTCATAATTCCCTTTTATTACAGAAGTTTGGTCCTTAAGGGGTTAAAGTTGTGAGATCTTATATAGGCAGGTGCATGCCTTTCCAGATCATGTCTATTCAATTAAATCTGCCACAGGTGGACTCCAATTAGAGTGTTAAAACATCTCAAAGATGATCCAGAGAAATGGAATGCATCCGAGTTAAATTTCATGTGTCTTAGCAAAGGTTCAGAATACTTATGTCAATGTGACATCTCAGTTTTCTTTAGAATAGACGTGCAGAGATTTCAACAATCTGTTTTTTGCTTTGTCATTATGAGATATTGAATGTAGATTGGTGTGAAAAAAATTATTGAAACATATGTGGCATATGGTTGCAATATTAAAAAAATATGGAAAAAATTAAGGGGCTTAAATACACTGTATATGTGTAAATTGCAAAATCTAAACAATATACTTTAAGGATACATCTATGGGACTTAAATAATTCAACATAACTTAGAGCAATACAACCAAGCTAATTTTTTTCTCGGAAAATATCAAATTTACGGCATAATTTTTATTATTTGTAAATTCGGAACAAAACACTGCCCTGTTTTCAAGTTTACGGAGTCACCCCTGACCTTCAGCATGGTCCTGCGATGCTTGAGAAAACTTCGGCACCCAAGCCATCTCATCTTCATGCTCAATTCAAACATCACCAGTGCAAGAGCTAACAGTTCCAAAGTAGCATGAACCTATAAGTAAATTATAACAACCACCTGTAAATAAGATGTGAGATAAAGACCTGGAGATAAATATACATACATACATACATACACACACACACACAAAAACAAACATAAAATTGCTCTGTTTATGAATCTGAAGTGATAGATTAAGTTCTACTCCACCACTGTCAAAGTGCATTTCAAAATTCCTCATTCAATGTGATTACATAATTTGTGTGGAAGTGCAAATAAATACTACTAGCATTCCCACAACTCACACTTCCAAAAAGAAGAGTGTGAGCTGGCTCTCTCCCACTTAAAAACATATTACGGCATACCTCTTGAAATGCTTGAGCTGGAGTATTTCTCACAGACCAAAAATTGTAGGGATAACTGGATCAGTATGGATCATCAGTAAGTTACAATGTCATTACAGTAACAGTCTCATGCATATACCAATGGCCACGCTGAAAATGTAAATGGGCATAAGACAGTGACCGTGTATGAGCCAATAAATAAATACCTTTACGTTTCCTAAAGCTGCAGCCCCTGCACAAGCAAGTATCATCAACATATTGATTCCTTCCTGACCAAGACGTGGCCCATCCAAGCAGGAGCCCGCTGGACAGAAGTTTATGGGATAATTAGTTTATGACCTAGCTGGAGTTCCATTAATGCATAGCCAGGTTTACAGCCTTGTGAAGATATATGTGTAACCAAGCTCACAGCTGCATGTGGCATTCCTCTGTACAGAAGAGGAGACAGATCCATTCTATTTGTCCGCAGTGTGAGCATGCCACAGACACATACTGAACATGGACAGATCTCATATACATAATTAAGGTTTGATGCATAAACATTGAATATGATTTTGTTCTTCTGATCCTCAATAAATTATCACTTTTGGCACAACACTGAGAAGCCTGTGGATTCTGACTTTTAATAATGCTAAGAGACTGTGGATCCCTGCCCGTGGTGCTCCAGTAGGGGTAGCAGATATTACTTGGTTACTAAAAGTGCGACAGTACGTTTGGATTAGGACGATTCTCATATGGCAAAGAGTAAGGAAGAATTTTGCTTTGATGTCTGGGAGATGCACAGGAAGCTCATAAATCACAGTATATTATGCAAATCACTGCAGGAAAAAAAGAAAGGGTTTGGGGTACTCTATGTACCATGACCTCTGCAATGATACAAAATTGCTACGTGCTTAAAGGGACCTTTCAGAGATTTTGCAGACATGTTGGATAGGTGTTGTTCTAAAGCAAGGATGCAGAGATAGATTATGTATCTTCCTCAGAAATCCCAGCCTCTTTTTAAAAGAACAAACCACTCTCTCATCAAGTTTAGAAGATTTTGTTTTACAATGTGTTACTTTTATAGTTGTTAAAGCAAGTTATCCTTTTCCTCAGCAGTGAAGTACATTGCTATATTTATCTAATTACAAAGTCCAACACAGTCCATGTGGATAAACCAAGTATTTATTATCTATGTACATGGAACTATTTCATTTGTACATATAGCATCTGAAGAGCATGGAAAGTAGAAACCTGTATGACTGGGACAGGTTTAACAACATGCCATAAATGTTTGAATTGATTAGCTCACCAAGTTACTGTCAGCACCTCTCACAGCTCAACATGCAGATTACTTTCTCTGCTCTAGTTACAAACACAAATGGCTCATTTCCATAAGCTTTTCGGACTACCCATTACTTGCAAAAGTCGCGGTCGCTAGTGTGTTTTCCCAAATGCAAAATCTCCCCATTAAATAAAGGAAAATAATCTTTGTCAGTCCATCAAGGGTTCTGTGCAATGTGTATTCATGGCAGAAAAGCCTTCATCAGGGTCTTCTCATGCATGGAGTTCTCAGTAAAAGCACTGTGAATGATTGACTTGGAAGTCAAATAATCACAGCAGTCTGACAAGCATGTTTCAGAAGAAAAGACTTGCCTCATAAGATGCACAGATGTTACATTAATGGACAAGTCTTGCGACAGGGATGGACACATTTACAGGTTTAGGAGACTGGACATCTCCTGGGCACTTTAGTGTCCTGGAAGTTGGGTCATAATCAGTGGGGCTCTCTGTGTGCTGGGCTTCGGTATGCTGTCCTTAGTTGCTCATGCAAATGTTAATTGTATTGCACTGTCCCTCCATTCAGTTTTGCACCATGTTTGTGCAGTATGCCACAAAATAAGAGTCCCTGGCCATCCACAGTCCGGCCCCTTCTGTATGTGTAGCTAAAGCAGAGATTACACACTTCCTTGTTGTCATACCCATTCATACCGTCATTAGGAGTTCTGACAGGTTAAAAGCAGTCAGCTGACATTCTCAGCCAATCACAGCTGCCCATTGCTGCTCAGGGTAATACTTCCTTATTAGCCAAAGCAGCACAGAGGGGATGGACTGCCGTGGTCTCTTGTTTAGCATTAAAACATTACAACATCTTTGTGTGTGTATGTGTCACTGTCAACAGTATCCATAAAACCACACAAAAACCATAAGAACATAGATATGAAGCTGACGATGTGGTTGAGGCAATACAAGTATGGAAATAACGTGGGGTAAACCACAATCTGACAAAAGCAACAGACAATACAGGTAAATGTTACAAAACAACAACAAAAAAACAAATGTGAAGACATTTAACCCACACAATAAGAATAAATTCTACTTAGAGTGAAGCAGAATGAAATACTACCTTTAATCAAACAATCATTTCATTACTTACATAAATATCCAGCCGCAGAGAGGGAACAGCTGGAGCTTCGCATACTGAGAGCAGCAACAACAAAAGCCCTGTGCCGAGTTCCACTAAATAAAAAAAATGATTGTGTGCAAAGAGATATGCAGAAAGCGCCTTGGCATCACGGGGATGTGTGTAAAATTTGTCATTATTCTTTCCCTCCTGTAAAATGTAAGAGAAATCCATTACACATATCAGGCCACTCATAAAAGAGAGAAGATCTTACAACGTTTGTAAAACTAACCTCTATGATGTACAGTTAATTGTTAGAATACTACTATACTACTCATCAAGGGTGTGTACAGAGCACTATCATGCTTGGATTTATTTTCGCTCTCCCTCTTTATAAATAAGTTGTTGCTTGAATCATGTTAAGGACAGTGACACCTGAACTCTGGCACTCCATCTCTTATGAACTTAGGTTCCCATTATCCTCAACAGTAGGTGGATGAATATCATGGAGCTATTAGCCCACAGCAGATGGAGTGTCAAATGTTCATCAATGCTCTAAGATAAGTGAAACTGACTGCCAGTATCCACAAAGTGGGATTTGTAGCTGAAAATTAGTTGCAAAAAAACAACAACTCAGATTTGCTGATTTTTCTCCCCCAGATCAGCTACTTTAACCTAAATTTCATGCATCAGTTATCATCTTGCCTTAACTTTTCTCAGAACTATTAGTCCTTGAGTTAATAAACCATATCCTAAATCTTTGGAATTTAGTGCACTTTGGAGAGCAATTGAAGCATGTGATGTACTTTAATCACCCTGTGTATAATTTACGTTTAATGATATAACCTAACATTACATAAGTTATTTGGTTCAGTAAATATGTACTTTTCTACATCCTGTAAATACTTTAAAAAATATATTTTAACTTTTTGTACTAAATTTATAGTGGAGATAAAACAAAACATAGATTAACCGATTTTCTTTACATGTTATAAATATAAAAATATTTGCACAATGAAAATCTTTACAGTATACAGTGGCATTTATCTTGCAATGTTTCTCACAGGGTATGAAATGTTAGTGTAAAATAAAAAATGAATTTTTTTCTCACATACGGTAGGTGTAACATATAAATAAAAAATGGTCAAATAACTTGCTTATAGGTATTTGTAAGGAATTTTAGAAGGCATTACAAGCAGTATAGCTTGCTACAAATAGCAACACAATGTAAAAAGAATGTCTGCATTTAAGCAAAAAGCACACATACAGTAGATGCAGTTAAATTATATCTTTCTAAAGTAAAGGTATTTAAAACTGCTGTAGCAAACTATCGATCTCTGGAATGCTAACATTAGCTCCTTGGTGGTCCAGCAGGGGTTAAATCTGCCTGCAGGTTCTGAGTACCTGATGGTCCAGCGGAGGAGCTTGAGGTGAACACCACCAGCAGATGCAGACCTCAGTAATTGCTCCTTCACAGATCTATTCTCAGCGAGTCTGATTGCAAGCTGGGAACATCAGGAGGCTGCACCCTGACTCACTAGCGAGCACTGGACCACAACAAACCAATTACTGTACCTCTTGATGAGTGTGCAAACCTCAAACTGCCATCTTTGATCTCCACACAAAGGCAAACCTGCCAATTGCCTGTAGCAAGACTAAAAGAATTAAACAATCCAGGAAAGGCCACTGCTCGGTAGTGCCTCCTTCAAGTGATCCAGAGCATTTGCTATACCCTATTTACGCCACGGTCATCAGCATCGATTTGATAAAATATAGTATGTATGGGTACTCTACGTTATGTTAGAGGTCTTACAGAACATTTCAGACCTTTGTGAAAGGTTATTAGTGAGCACACAGTATACAATTAGGAGTGAAAAAAATTAAAGCCCAGAGCTCACAGATTAGTGGGGACAGGTAAACGTTAGAGAGCATACAGTAGTAGAGGTATAGTGTGAAATGAGTGGGGAGAGGTAGGTAGGAGTAATGTTGTGAAGTGATTTGTACTGGTGAATGCAAAAACAAAGTTGTTTTATCAGAAGCTAATGGAGTGTTTAATAAATGTAGAGACACAAGCAGACGAAGGCATGCTGAGGCGGCTATAGAAGTAGCTTTTGGATTATTTTTGTTTTGGTTTATGTGGGATAATAGAATTTTGCAGAAGACCAAGCAGGATGGAAAGTCTCTAGTCAAGCCAGGTAAAGACAAGGAAGTGGATAAGAATTTTACAGCTGAGACAGTGAATAACAGTAGGGCTTTTTAGAGGTTGAAAGCAAAAAGAGCAGAACATAGCAGGTGTGTTTGATAAAGAAAAGTGAAAAGAAATGATTCATGGATAACACATATTAACAAACTGGGGTGAAGGGGAGACTGTGAAAGGAGGGAAAGAAATAATGGAAACGTTGCAGAACAGAAAAGAATTATAGTTCAGTCTGATTTTATTTGGTGAACGTAAAGAACACTGTAGAAAAAGGGAAGCCAGTGAGAAAAATATATGGTTACTGAAGTCTTGATAAAAATGAAAGTCAACACGTGGAGTGGTATAGATAAAGAATGGGATGATATCAAGAATTAAGCCTTGAGATGGCTTTACAACAGTACAGGGATCATTATCAGAGACAACTGGAGGCTGGTTGTGCAAGGAATGGTTTTTTAAGAGGCAGAAGACGGGATGGGGAGAAGAGACAGAAAAAACAGAGAAGAATAGTTGACATGGATGATGGGAAAAATGACGATGTTTAAACCCTCTGCAGAATAAAAGTCATTAAAAAAAAAAATATACAAAAAAGTTTTCCAACACATGTTTAAACACAAGGCAAAATGTTAGAAAATATGTCTAAATGTCTATGAAGAAAACACTATGTCGCTTTAAAATTCCATTTCACAGAAGCCAAAATGAAATCATTTACAAATGGGCAGATAATATGTATTTTCCCACTGGCATTCATTATGTTCTAAACCTTAAGATTTTCTTGGACGGTGCCTTGTTCTGACCTGGAGGTAGATGGCAGCTTCTTGGTATCGTGTCTCCCAGCTTGTGGCTGAATTGTCTGATATACGGCCTTGCTCCGAGATGTCTGTAAGCCGATCATACTCTAATCGCACTGCAGGAGGAGATTGGGAAGGATTAGATAACTGTTGAATCCAACAAGAAAACAATATTGCATATTATCTGTTAAACTCAATAATTCTCAGTGATATAAGGCACAATGATATATGTAGAGGAAAGCAATCCGGCCAAGCGTTATGGTTCTTCCATTAAACTGTGTAACGAATGGAACACTTCTTAGTAGATAGCCCTCAAATGAAAACATACATGAGCTTAAACATCAACTTTGAACAAGTTTGAATCTTTAAACCCTTAAAGTTCCATAGGATGTTCCAATCTTTCCTAGAAGTAGGCATTAAAATCACTTAGGAGAGCGTGAAATTCCCTTCAGTTTAAGTGCTAATAGGGTTAAATCACTGCTTGCAAGGAGGAGATTCATGTATCAACTGATAGAGCTCCTTTTGGTCAGCAGTTAACAGATTTAGTGCTCTTATCAGATAGAACAAGTGCTCAAAGTGAAACCAGTTACATATTACAGTATGGCCGAACCTCCATGTCATCAATGGCTTTGTGGGGTTGCTGGGGCTGTCATGGGGCACCCACAGGTTCTAAAAGAAACCGGACAGAATTCCTCAGTAACACCATGTTTGGCTGATCTCCTTTTATGATCTGACATATGGAGACTTGCAGGAGCTGTGATCAGTCACACAGCTCAGCTATACAGCACAAGGGAAAACAGTTTGTTTCTTTTCCTGACACTCAGATTTTAAAGTATACGCAATCAGATTTGACAAAATAATGTCCAAATTTGACATTTTCTTTTTCATTCCAAATTCAAAGCTGTGATTTTTGTAAAAGCTATGAAATATTACCCCCCCCCCAAAAAAAAAAGACTCATTTATCTATTGGCTACAATATACCCAAAACAAACCTATATTTCCTTGAAAATGTATATATAATATGTGTGTGGTGGGTGTACTTAACATGAAAAAATGAAAGTTAAACAAAAGTATCAAAATCTAGTTGTTGTTTGTTTTGTTTCTACTTAGAAATTTCTCACTGTCCTTTGGCATTAACAAGGTAAATAGCAAATTCAGAAATTCAAGACAGCAACAGGACATAACCACTTAGACAATTAACTGCTATTTTAGGAACATTTTTGCGCTTTGTATGTTACAACCAAGTAGAAAAATATATCAGTAACATCCATGTCCGTAGCAAGCATAAGTGGCTTATAGTTACAAAGTTACAAAGTTAACGGCCACACTTTTTGGAAAGGGCGAGCTATAGTGCAGATGTCTGTTGGCGGATTGAGGGGTTGGTTAAAACATATGCACATCAACAATAATCTTTAATATAGTTGATTGATTACAAAAGATTCACTGGCGATCTTCCTGAGGTGAAATCCAAACTGCATTACTGCAAAAAAAAATACCTCTAGGACAGAATGGTCCCAATATTAAGCCGGTTTCAGTGTAAAACATGCAAGGAGTGGGACATGCATGGGAAATAAACAAGTATTAAGACAAACTTGATAACACTATTTTTACGAATAGCGCCTTAAAGGGACACTGTAGTCACTATAACCACTTTGTCTCTTTGAATTGGTTATAGTGCCTGGAGTGCCCTGGCACTGTCACTCCATTCAGTGTTGCACATGTTTGTGCAGTAAGCCACAAAATAAGAGTCCCTGGCCACCCACAGTCCGGCCCCTTCTGTATGTGTAGCTCAGGCAGAGATTACACACTTCCTTGTTGTCATACCCATTCATACCGTCAGTTGGAGCTCTGACAGGTTAAAAGCAGTCATCTGACACTCTCAGCCAATCACAACTGCACATTGCTGCTCAGGCTAATACTTCCTTATTACTGTGAAAATCACAGTGAGAAGCGCGGAAGCCCTAGAGGCTGTATTAACCCATTTATAAACATAGCAGTTTCTCTGAAACTGCTATGTTTATAGAAAAAAGGGTTAAACCTAGCTGGACCTGGCACCCAGACCACTTCATTAAGCTGAAGTGGTCTGGGTGCCTATAGTGGTCCTTTAATGACGCAGAACGGAAAATTTCCATCCAATACTAAAATTAACCCAGATTGCCACAATTGCGGCAATCGTGGGGTTAATGTTCCTGTAGTGTGTCTCCGCGTTAGAGGCACACTTCAGCAAGCAGTTTCACTGATTCAGCCCAGAGTCAGAGCGATCACACATGATGCAGTGAAAGCCGATCTGTCTCCCTGCAGCTCCGTGTGAGCTGTGAAGTGCAGAGAGTTGATCGGTGCAGATCTGTCTCTCGCTGTAAAAAAACCTGTTAGTTATAAAATCCTACCCCCCTCACCCCTTTCAAATAAAATTCAACCCCTTCCCTGCAGCTTGACGGGGCCCTGGTACCGCTCCTTCCTGGAGCCGAATGGGGAATTCACTCTAGACACCCCAAGGCACTGGTCGACACTCAGTCATGGGAGCTCTAGTCCTTACAAGGACTTTCCCCGTTGAATCGCCTGCAAGCTGGAACAGCAGATACAGGGGTTAAATCTTCCTTCCCTCCAATAAAAGGACAACACACAGTTTTGGAGTGCAAGCTGGAATACTTTAATGGCAGCCACAACTGGCCTTATATGCATGTCCCCATGCAAGGGGCACTTGCCCCTGGACCTTAGAGTAAACCACAGTAGGAGCAAATACACAATTACATTGGCTTTTAGGTCCAGGACACTCCCATACAAAATCAGATAATCCCTCCTCTGTACCTGGGAGATAATTGGATCAGGAACTGTACTAATTCTAATCCATTTATTTCCAAGCACAGAAAAAAAACATACTTTTTCAAAACACCACAAAAGTTACATCCCCTGATAGTCCTGATCTGGGTGACCAACATATACAAAAATCACCCAGAAGAGTTCAGGAATTTCCTGGGAGTCTTAATTTGACCGACCGCAAGCATGGACCCATGCCCAAAACAGTTCCAGAGAATCAGGGCTTGTGGTCGGTCTAATTCAGTAGTTTGAAAAGAAACAAACTACCGAACAGAGTCAATAGTCTTACGCTGGAGCTTGTTCTCATCCAGATGAATGATTTCACCGAACAGTGCCCTTCTAAGTTGTATAGAACCGAACGTAGGCGATGATGAAAGTCCAGCGGTGTTCAGGAGTTTCTGTGTCCGATTTTAGTTCCATGAGATTCATGCCCAAACACCGCTGCCTGCATTCATGTGAACAAGATGGCCGCCACCTCGTGGTTGTCCATAGGAATTGCGGCCACCCAGACGAACAATTAGAACACTGCGGTGAGAAACCTTCCAAGTTGTTAATAGGTGTTAACAAGCTACAGGGTGGTCTCTGGTTCGTGCGGTTGTTCAGTAACCAAATCATTTATTAAGGTCCATAGTCTGTGGGCAGGAGGCTGGCAAGCAGGCTTCTCCAGGAACTCGTGGCATACTCACTTGAACACGGGAGTTTGTCACAGTCCTCACGCTCTGTATCAGGCGCGTGCTAATCTAGCATTCCTACCATTTTCATTACTTTTGGAGAGCTAACGGAAGTGGAAGAAAACCTTCCTGGCTGTGTGAGTGACAGCCAAGGATGTGTTTCTGCCCCCAGTTATAAAAGTGCCAGTTCCTATTTAAATCTGCACTTTTATAAACTGTCAAGAAGGTGGAAGACTCCAGACAAATAAAGCAATTCAGCTTGCAGAAGTGCTGTATGTGTCTAGAGCAGCGGTTCCCAAACTGTGTGACAGGCACACAGGGGAGTTGCAAAATGTTTTCCCCAGTGCTATAATCATAGCATGGGGAACCGTGCCTTGCTCTCCCTGCAGGCAGCTGGCATGTGAGGGAGAGAAGACCCAGGGGAGCTCTAACCTGCAGCTCCGCTGGGTTCTTCTGTTGCAAGCTCGGAGAAAATCTTGCGAGAGTGAACTTAGCCTCAGGAGCTGCTAGAGTTCACTCTCATCACATGGATCACCAGGGCTTCGTACTGTCCCCCTCCCAGGCAAAGGAAAGAAAGGAGGGGTGATATGAAAATGTTTATACACACACACACACACACTACTGCCCTTAATACAGCCCCTATCCCTGCAGATCCCAGGTAAATTGTCAAACTGTTCTTAAACAGTTTGACTACTTACCTTGGGAGGGCACCACAGCACTCCTGGCACCATAACCACTACAGAGTGCTGTAGTGGTAATTGTGCCTGGATTTTTTTTTTTTTTTTTAAATAATCTACCAGTACCCCTCCCAAGATTAGGTTCTGGATCCACCCTTGAACTGGAAACATTTCTGCTGAATAGGGACGCAGTATATGCCGCAGTGCTGTACATATATACTACCTAGAAATTTGTTTTGACGCCTTGGAAAAATATCAAAATATTAGGGGGTAAAAAGTTTGGGCACCAGTAGTCTAGAGTGTTCATTTAAAGGCTGACCATCAGAATAGGAACTGTGTGTTATTAGATATGGATTGTTGGAACGGTTATTTATAATACACCTTTATGAATCAACACAGCTCAATGGCTGATCAGTCTCACCTGAAGTCGTATCATTGTTTGTTCCATCTGCAGAATGATCAGCACAATCACCATTTTCTTCCAAAGTAAGAATAAGAGGTTCATCATCCTCCTGGTTTTCAGCCATCCTTATGCTATTTCACCCACTTCTAACAAAGCTTCAGCTCACACTCTCTGTTCTGAACTGCTATATCATCCATCTGGGAAATTCAGGCTTAAAAGCAGTTTAATCATACACCAAAAAGGATTTCACTACATCGACAAGTTTCTTGAGCTAGGAGTGTCATCGTTCCATGCCGTTATAGTAAAAGCAGATATAACTTTGAAGGTCTGACTGCAAGAAACAAAATCACAGACAAGCAAATTTTTCCATAAGTGGTATGAAGAAAACACACCATAACTATTTCAGTTATGATAATTCACTGTATGACATTCATTGAATGGAAAAATCTGTGTATGTGGGGATACATAGATAAAGTAGAATGGGTAATATTCATGTAATATCACTGATTCGGGATATACTTCTAAAAGCATTCCCAGCGAACAGATGTCAATTTAAAAAAAAAAAAAAAAAAAGTTGGTTTATTGTAATGGCTACCCCAAAGCAACATTATTATTAAAAGAACACTCCAAGCACTTTAAATACTACTACATCACACTGTAGTGGTAATGGAGACAGGAGTACACGGCCATCCCTCCCAATGAAAAGAATCAAACCATTTGATAACACTTTAAATTTCTTATTTGGAGTTTGCTACGTGTAGTTCAGAGTTTCCACCTCCCACTGAAGTAAGGACCAGCACCTGGTGGATCCCAGGTAAGAGGTCAAACCATTTTAACTATTTACATTGGAGGTGCAAGGGAGCTCCTGGTATTATAACCATTACAATGTGCTGTATTAGTTATTGTCCTCGGAGTGTACTTTCAACCAGGCAAATTAAAATCTTTCCCAACATATGGAGCATAGCATTTGTTTAAACATTCCTTAGCACTAGATTAAAATTTATATTTGCACATGTGGCGTGGCGTGGCGTGGTAGACAGCCACTAGTGGTGGAGTTAACCCTGCAATTTAATTATTTCCCCTTTTTAAAGGCAAGTAGTCCTTTCTATCTTTATGATGCCTTTTATTGCAATGATTCTGTAAATATATTTATGAACACATTTGTGAAGGAGCCCACATTCAAGTAATTTTCCATAGACTTATGATATTTTATTATTTATATAGCGCTGTACAATGTACGTAATCTTTGATATGCACATGTCCTAACAGTTACGGACGGAAAATGGTGGTGATAATGAGGGAAAATATTAGTTAAGTATACATTTAACCTCCCTTCAAGTGTTGCTAACCCACACATGGACCATCCAGGAGGGGTCTTTGTGTAAAAATTAAAAAAAAAATGACAGGTCAGCTTTAACTATAACATGTAGTATAGAGTTAAATTATTAAGCAATATTGCTTTAAAACAATAAAACAGTTCATTTGAAATTTTAGGTCAAAAGTAGCTGTACTTGATGCATAGGTAACAGATTTTTTTCAGTTCAGCTATTTTAGCCTTACATTTACTTTTAATGGTCAATCTAGTAAATAACTCTTTGGCTTATTCTACCCTGCTCAACTGTCCTCCTTCCCAGCTTCCTTTTTGTGCTTCAATACTCCTTCACAATTTTAATGTGGGGATACAATAGCAGCAGTTTGAGTAAAGGCAGAGTTGCATGTGTGAAGGGTGCCACTGTGAAGGATCGTATTGGTTTAATTGGCTTTGAGTGTCAGTGTATGTGCGTAAAGGGGTATATCTTTATTGTCTTTTGGTGTAAATATGTGTAAAAGATATTCATGTATGTGAATTTAAGGGAAATCCCGAAGAGTATTTTGTGTATTGTTGGTTCATGACAAGGCAGGGTGTATGTTAGAGTTGATGTATGTGAATACAGGGGTTTATTAGATAAGTGTGCGAATGCAGATATTTACTAGAGCAGTGTCAATGCATGTGAATGCAGATATTTACTAGAGCAGTGTCAATGCATGTGAATGCAGATATTTACTAGAGCAGTGTCAATGCATGTGAATGCAGATATTTACTAGAGCAGTGTCAATGCATGTGAATGCAGATATTTACTAGAGCAGTGTCAATGCATGTGAATGCAGATATTTACTAGAGCAGTGTCAATGCATGTGAATGCAGGGGTATATTGTGAAGGGTGTCTACCGAACCAAGGAAGAATTTGTGTAGTATGAAAATGTGTTTGTGTTTCTTGCACTTCCTGTGCAGTGAATACAGGGATTGTTGTTATTGTGTATGGCAAGCTGTTCTCTTTCCTTCTGCCCCAGCCCCTATGCCTTCTCTTCTGTAAGTTTTTGTTTCTGACTATCCCAGTGCCCCTTCCTCTCTCTCTCGTTACTCCCTCACATTATTATTATTATTCTTCTCCTGCTATGGCCCTCCATTTGAGGTTGGTCTCACCCTGAGCCCAGGTTTGCTCACACACAGTGAGCCCCATTCATGCAGACTATCAGCCCACGTGTCTCACCCCTCCTACCCGTGGCACGGCAGAGCGGGCTCCTGGTACAGACCTGGCTCTCCCCTCTGCCAGGCCTTGCCACTGGGAGCTCTGGCGGCGGCCGCGTTGTGCGTGGAAAGGGGCGTGGCCTCCGCTTCGCCCCTCCCCCACAACTACCAGGCGCATTGCAACCATGGGAGGTGTCCCGGCTGCGCCCTCCCACTACTTAGGAGTGGCACGGTCTCGGTAAATGGCGATAGGGCAGGGTGGGTAGCTCATCTAAGCTACTCAGTCGGCTCATGTCAACAATGGTGCCCGAGGCCGCACAGAGTGGATACGCCACAGTAAGCGTTTAGCTCTAGTGTGTACAACTCGAGATAGCAGCGCTGCATTCTGCGCATGCGCTCCATCCGCCATGTGAACAGAATCAGACGCTGTGATTGGCTGGGCGGGAGACCAGTGCAGCCTATTAGTGAGGTCTCGGTTGCCTAGCAATAGGATGTAAACGGTATCAGCCCATAGCAGAGCTGGGACTGCCGGTGGGTAAGACTATTTCTATCGGTTTTATTTTATACAGAGGGCTAGCCATGGCACTGCAGGCGAGGTGTGACAGTTACAGGTTACAAACAATGTAATACCCGGAAAAAACAGACCCTAATAATATAGACAGTAATCATAACCCCAGTAACAAAGCGCTGCGGAATTTGTTGGCGCTATATAAATAATAACATAATAATAATAACTTGATCACCAGCCAATAGCTGTGGGGGATGGGAATTGTCCCGGTGAATTGAAAAATGCAAGCCGATGAATGAGAGCAATGGAAGTTACTCTTACAGATATCCCTTAACTGATGGCTGAGAGTTAAAGGGACTTTTTGGACATCAAAACAACTTTAGCTCAGTTTCCTGCCATTTGGGAGTTAAATCACTTTTGTTTGTGACTGACACAGCCTGCATAAAACAAAATGGTTTAATTGTCAATCAGATGTTAACTTACTTTAGAAGTTTATAACTCCTGCTCTGTAAATTGAGCTTTCCTCATTCACAGGAGGCTCCTGCAAGGTCTAGCAGGCTATCAGAAATTCTAAATTAAACAGACGGTGCAGTAAAGTAAGTTTAAACATGAAATCTCACTTTACAGGAAATGTTTACGATGGCTGTGTAAGGGAGGTGTGACTAGCAACAATGTATTTACAGCGAGGATCACAAGACATTTCCGGCAGATGTCTTATAGCCTTGTGTCATGGGGAGCCCATGAGCTAGCCAGCTGGCCGCCTTAGGGAGCATCCAAGTCAGGCAGCTGCGCATATTGTAGATGGGCAGCGAGGGAGCACTGATCTCTGTGCTCTTTTTGTTCTGCTCCCTTGCACGAACTGCTGTGATGCCAGGAGCCAGAATATTACATCACTACGGCCCCAGCATCACTAAGCGTTTGTGCGCCCAGGGGCCGAGCAGCTACACTGGATCCCGGTAAAAGAATCTGCTCCAGCTCTCCCAAAGGTAGGGAAACTGGAAGGATTTAAATTACAATAAAAAAATAATAATCATTTGTGAGTGTATGAGAAAATGTGTATGAGTGTGTGTGTGTCAGTCTGTCAGTGAGTGTGTATCTGTCAGTGAATATGTGTGTAACTGTCAGTGTGTGTCTCTAAAGAAGTGTGAATGTGTGTCAAATCAGTGGGGATGTGTGTGTCTGTGAGCAGTGGCGTACATATAGGGGTCGCAGCTGCGACCAGGCCCATCACTACAGGGGGCTCGGCCGCTCTGCCGACCCCTACGACCGGGTGCCCGCCATCAAGTTTTGCGGCCCCAGCACGCAAGGCAGACTGCCAGGGGCCTCCATTCAAGGGGTCCATCGGGTGGCCCATGCTGTTAGGGCCATCCGATGGGTATGGATTTTCAGGGGGCCCGGTCAGTGCTGCGGCACTTTAACAGCACGACCGGGCCCCCTGTGATGACATCACACGCTGGAAGGAAGTGACTGCCCCGGTCACTCCTCCCAGCATACACAGAGCCCGCACGGGAGGAAGCAAAAGAGGGCGTCAGAGTAGGAACTCTGACTCCCATCAACCTGAGCCACCACTGGACCCCAGGGAAAGTCACCCTCCTGCACCTAAAAGGTAGGAAACAGGAGGGTGACTTAAACATTTTGTATATGTTGTATGTGTGTGTGTGTGTGTCTGTATGTATGTGTCTATGTGGTGTGTGTCTGTATGTATGTGTCTTTGTATGTGAGTCGTGTGTGTGTGTGTCTGTATGTATGTGTGCCTGTCTGTTTGTATGTATGTGTCTTGTGTGTGTGTGTGTGTTTTTGGGGTTAAATCATTCGAGAACGGAAAATAATCCAGGGACCTCCTTGCACCATCATAACTTAATTTCAATTACGTTGTTATGGTGCCTGGAGTGTTCCTTTAATGTTGTGTTATATCAGACTGTGACGGACCATCTGGCACCCCGACTGGGTGTCTCCGCCAACCAATGCGTCCTAGTACTTCCAAGCACACCACCAGACACCATCAGCACAGTAGTCCCCACTTCCAGCGTTACAGATTGGCTGGGGTCTCGCCTTCCTCCACCCACCCTGGTCCCAAGACCCAGATCCAGCTTCCTGTGGGCAGACCTCTCCTATTCCAGAGAGTGTAGCAGGCTGCTCTTACTATTGCAAGTGATTATAATGATATAGTGATATAGTATAGTAATATAGCAATCCCCAGAGCAGATACAGCTGCCCCCCTCCCCCCCACCCCACATGAGATAAGACTCTATATTGAGGGTAGACAGGAACTCTTTTATTGGCAGCTACAACTGGCCTTATATGCAGGTCCCCATGCAAGGGGCACTCCCCTCTGGACCAGGGAGTAGACTACAGTAAAAACATACACACGATTACATTGGCTCTCAGGTCCAGGACACTCCCACATAAAACAAGATAATCCCTCCTATGTTCCTGGGAGATAATTGAGTCAAGCACTGTATTAAACTCAATTATCTCCAGACACAGAAAACATACAATTTTATAAAATCCCCAAAATAACTTTAAACTCACAAAACCCCCACAAAGTTACATCCCCTGGTAGCCCTAATCTGGGTGACCAACATATCCAAAAATCACTCAGATCTGTTCAGGGTTTCAGGATTTTCATGGAAGTCATAATTTTGACCAACCGTGCACATGGTCCTATGCCCAAAACAGTTCCATGAAATCAGTGCTAATGGTCTGTCAAGTTCGATAGTCTTTTACAGGTTTCCCTGCAGGGCTCATAGTCTGTGGGCAGTAGGCTGGCAAGCAAGCTCCTCCAGGAGCACATGGCAGAGGCATTTCTGCCACACATATCAGACAAAGCCTTGTCTGTCCTTTAAATAAATATAAGGGTTAATACTTTTTTTTTTATTATGCTTTAGTTTCATTGATTTACACAAGGTATTCTTGTGCATTTTTAAAGCAATGGTGGGGTCATTCCAAATAAAAATCCATGTTCAGCAAGCGGAGTTAAAGGATCACTATAGGGTTAGGAACACAAACATGCATTCCTGACCCTATAGTGTTAAAACCACCATCTAGCCCCCCCCCCCTCCTTCCGGGCTCCTCATGCCTCCATAAATATAGCAAAATCTTACTGTATTCAAGCCTGAAGCTGTAGATCTGCATGATGTTTGCCTCAGAAAAACAAGCTGTCTGTTGACATCCTCAGAAGTGGTAGCCTGATCCAATCACAATGCTTCCCCATAGGATTGGCAGATCGGGGCAGAGCCAGCATGATTCAAACACAGCCCTGGCCAATCAGCATCTCCTCATAGAGATGAATTGAATCAATGAATCTCTATGAGGAAAGTTCAGTGTCTGCATGCAGAGGGAGGAGACACTGAATGTTTGGATGCATTTTTCTCTGAAAAGACACTGTGTACAGCAAAAAAACTGAAAGTAATGATTCTACTCACCAGAACAAATTCAATAAGCTGTAGTTGTTCTGTTGTTCTGGTGACTTTAGTGTCCCTTTAAGTTTTATATCACTAGGTCCTTGCAATGTATTTAGAGTAATCATATTTCCACTATTCCCTATTTTTTGTTGACTTATTCTAATACTCCTAACCTTCTCACCTTTTCTTTTGACAATACAAACTGCTGAACTACATTAATGTAATTGTTTATATTTATATCTGTGTAAAGAATTATATTAAAGATGGCCCTGGGTGTCCGCAAAAAGCACAAATTGCTTATATTTGGTTTTTGTAATGTGCACTACAAACCACAATAAAAATACGTTAATATATATATTTTTTTTTTTTCATATAGAAAAATTAAAAAAAATGAGGGCTTGGAGGTCGAAACGTTGATTTTCTTTGTTATGCGAATGTAATACACGTTTTTTCATTTATGCAAAATCCAGTGAGTGCTCTCATTTTTTCATTTTTCTATATTGGAGCGCTGTGCAGCACCCTGGTTGAATTATCTGTGAGTGATTTTTAGGTAGAGTGCCAGATTGTTGATTATTGTGTATGTGTGTGTGTGTATATACATAATATAATATCATTTAAAAAAAAAAAATTTAAACTTAATTTGTATTGTGGTTTGTGGGTATTACATTGAAACAAACATAACACATAGAAAAAAGTGCAAAAAAGGCATTGGTCCCAAACACAAGGAATCTCTGAAAAATCTCCTTCACTACAGAGTTAATGCAGTGTCTATATAATACATCTTTAAAATGGGGATTACTTCCAGCCTGTAGTATCCTTTTAACTAACATTATTATGGGAACCAACATGTCTAATTAAAATGTGATTGAGTTGGTGTTAATTAACCATGAAGTACACTAACTCATAAAGTATGTTTGTTCTTTTAATGCAAAAATAATAAAACAAAATATAATGTAGAATGATGTAAGCTTAGGTTATGTTTAACTATTTATATATATATATATTTTTTTAGAGGTCTCAGAAAAAAAGATGGATAAAGCCACCAAAGTGCTTCCCCCTTCCCGAGGAGTAACGATGCTTTCGCCTCAACCTCTTGCATCTCCCATCGAGATCTACAAGAAAAAGCAGAGTAAAATGAGCAAGAAGATGCTGGACCCAGGCCGAAAGAAGTTAAAATCAGTAGAGACCCAGCGAGTTATTGCAGTGCTCGATGAGACAATTAAAAGGTTGGAATTGGTCAGCCTTTTCCAGTATGCAGCCAATAACCTGGATCAATTCAGCTTCATTTTTGGTTCAAAGTTGACAGGGGCCATTCGTGAGTACCAGAGGCTGCAGGAGAGACTGCAGATGCAACTTAGACGCCTGAGTACAGAAAGTGAAGAAAAAGAAGACGATTGTATCCTGCTGGAAGGGAAATTTCCGACTGAAAGCACAGAGTCGAAGCTCTCTGTACTTCATGAAGGCATTAGGAGCAATATAAGAAACATTTTGAGACTTTTCCGTGATAATCCGGCAGCCAGTGAAACCTTGAGATCAAAAGGCCATGCACGTGATCCAACATCTCAGAATCTGATACAGACATTCTCAGATCTCAGAAGTTGCATATATGAGATGCTCTTGAATAATCCTTTCGAGCAGGAAGAACAAATGCGTTACTTTCAGAAAATTACTTCACGTGACCAGAAAAACAAGGTCATTCTGGCATCTTTGGAACAAGAGGTTAATGCAGCCATTCTTGATCGGGATGCTGAGGTATTGAAGTTTACAAGATGCATGTCTGATCTGGATAGACATGAGCAGATTTGTATGTAATGAACCATAGGATCTTTTCCAGAATGTGCTTTTAAATGAAATTTCCTAGGTTGAGTTGAACCATGCTTTTTAATGCATTATGTAGATAATACATTAAAATATCTGCAAAATATATTAAATAAAATACAAAAGACGTTCTTGCATTTGCTACAAATCCTCAGGGTTTGCAACACATTGAAAAAGTCATGCCAGTAAAATGTGTTAGTAAGTGTTTATTATGTCTGTGTGCACTACCGTAGTGCAGTTACATACCTGCCAACATTGGAAGGTATTAAATTGGCACTGTGTTGTGTGGGCTGGCAGGGTTGCGTGTCACTGATGTCATAAGGTGCAGATCCTGTCCAAAAAAGGTTTGGGCCAACCAGGAAAGGGGTGTCCAAACAAAAGGTGGAGTTAGCCTTGCCTAAATACATACCAGGTTGACAGTCCATTGTTCTGGCTGTAAGAACACCTTAGTAAAATCCTGGATGAACACTTTAGTAAAATCTTGTCAAACCCTTTACTAAGACAGAGGTCAGAGACCTATGGCACATGTGCCATGCACGGCATGCAAGGATACCAAATGCAAACAGACTGGGAAGATCTTAGGGTCTCCTCTGAAACTGGCCAAAAAGGGTTCCAGTGGGACATCTGCAGAACGTTCGTCACTAGCCATGATTGCAGGAGGTGGTGTGGGGCAGGCCTAAAATCACCCATTGTGGTGCTTGGAGGATCATTTTCTCCCAGTGCTTCTGAAGGGGAATCCAGTTTGTGATCTGTATTATTTATTAATACTGTGCGCTAATGAACAGAGACCGGTTTCAACAATAAAAACTTCTTATACTAGCCACTAAGGGGACATGAGGCAGCATGACCAGGAGGGTCTATCAGTATTTTGTACTGCAGACATGTCCTTGAGCTGGGACCACACTTGACCACTCTCTCATGACCAGCTTTATGTTTGCCAAAGCTAGCAAGTATATCAATTTATTTATTTTCAGCCACCTGAGTGAAACAGCACTGATCTTTAATGTTACTTGGTGTGCTAATGTTGTCTTATTTTCTACCTGTTTACTCTTTACTTTCCTTGAAGATTTCCAGGACAAATGAAATTATTCGCCAGCTTAAGGTAAACCTGCATCATATGGAAATATCGTCAGAGAATCAGGTGAAGAACATAACGCAAGAATCAGAGACGCAACAGAAAGCAGACCGTCGCGCTTCTGAAATAAAGTGTGCTAAGCTTCAGCAAGACCTCAAGCAACTAAGATCCCAGCTTAATGCCACTATTGCTGAAAACCAAGAGATAGAGATAAAACTAAGAAAGGTATGTGACATTATACCAGATATAAACAACCTTTTCCATTCTAGCTGGCATAAACAGCCATGACATGAGTTTAGAGTCATGGGGATCAAATTCCACAACAGCAGGTAAGGTTACATGAGCAGAATATTCGTACATTATGTTAGAGTAAACTATCTATGTTTTTTATTGCCAGTTTGAGCATTGTAAAGTGTATTGGGTTTATTCACAAGAAAATGATTTGTAGTGAATTTTTTTTTTTTCTTCACAATTTAGAACAAATTAGTGGTTTGAAAAAATTCTCTAACTCTGCTATAGTCAAAGCTTGTCTATTTTATCCTGAACTTTGCATTATTTACTATACCCATGCTGTCCACCTGAACACAGGCTTTTAGGATCAACCTATGGACAACCTACTCAAAAATGTCTATAACCAATTATTTTGTAAATTTAACCTGTGGGCCATATGGTGAAAGAGAGCACATGTCAAGGAAAAATATTGCTGTTGATGAGTAACAATATGTAGGATTTGCTGCTGGCAGTTATTGCATATAAACTGCTACTTCGTACATCTTATACAGCCATTTAATTGGATTCTATGCTGTTAGGACTACAAATCTGTATTCCTAACACTATAGTGCCCTTTTGTGCCGTCCCCCCAGAAGATGAGCAGAGCATGAAGACGTCCAGCGTCTTTTAAGGGACTCATAGTTCGTTAGAATCCCAGAAGCGCCGCTTATGGCTGTCTGCTATTTCTTTCATAGAATCATGGGAGTTATAGTTCAGCAACATCAGAAGGGCTGGAGTTTGGGGAAGCCTGTAATTAATACATAGTTTCCAGTAATAATTCTATGTACACAGTAAAGTTGACAATGTCTGAGAAAATGTGTACGTTAGTACTGGTTTTGTTTCACTGCAAATTGCTCAGTTCTTTTAGGATACCCACATAATGTAATTAATTATATGCTTATTTTTACAGAAAGAATATAGGCTGGAAGCAGAACTGGAGCACTGGATAGAGAAATATGATGCGGATATGGGAAAGAAACAGGTATGGTCAAGTATTAGAATGCTATTTCCCTACTGCCAGTTTTCCATTTAGCAAATTGCTTGGCAATGCACAATATTAATTGACTGATTACATGTTTAGTTAATACTATATGTTAAACTGAGAGACTCACTGGTTACCTCCTAATAGGCAGACCTGTACTGACAGAACTATTGTTATGCTTTACCTTTTATAATGGGAACTAGGAAATGATCACCTGTTTGTAAATCTTATTTGTGGGTCCGGGCAGGACTAAGGTAGGTGAAAGGGGAAAAAGAGACACACAAAAATTTATGGGAAGCTGTTACACAGACGACCACAATGACGATGAAACTGCCGGGAGGAATTTAGGACCGCACTTGGTTAATGGTTTCATATGATACATAAACGTAAAACGCATTGTATGGAATTAATTTTTGTTCATGTTTGACATTGGGACCGGAAAGGCCCTAAAAATTGGAAAACAACACCAAGAAGCACACTATAACCAGTATACCCGATATACCTTTAAATCTTCTCTGTACAACGAATTGCATTATATGTTGATGACAGGCCCCTGCGCGGGCCACATCATGTTATTAAGTGGCACTTGTTGTTGAAACAAAAATAAAGAATTAAAAAAAAAATTTATGGGAAGGGGAAAAAGGTACAGAAAGGTGCTGAGGGAATAGACTAGGTGCTGGGGGGAAGAGACACACAGAAGAGCTGGGAGGAAACATGACAGAAAAAGGGCCATGGAAAGGGGAAAAAGACACACACAAAGGAGCATGGGAAGGGGAAAAAGACACACACAAAGGAGCATGGGAAGGGGAAAAAGACACACACAAAGGGGCTGTGGGGAAAAAGAGACAGACAAAGGGACTAGGTGAAAGTAATCGACTCACAAGTGGGTGTAAGACACAAATGGGAAAATGGATGATAAGATACACTAAAGGAGGTAAGACATTCAAAAAGGGAATAATAAACACAAAGGGGGGAATTAAGAGACTACAGGTGAAGATACTTTATTTGTTTTTTTGAGGGGGTAGGGGGAAAAATAAATTTTCGCCCGTGTAGTCAAAAAAAAATCATTATTTATTTTTATTTTTTCACAATGTTATGGGGATGTTTGTTGCATGCCCGGATACAGCTATATATATATATATATATATAATATATGTATATGTGTGTACATTGCACATACGGCCACTAGTTTTATTCATTATGAAAGAGCTATAGAATAGTCAAGTAATTTTGACTTTTCAGCTATTTATTTATTACATATAGCCCCATTAATATTAAAGAGATACTATAGGCACCAAAACAACTTTAGCTTGGCAGTCTTAGTGTATAGATCATGTCCCTGCAATCTCACTGCTCAGTTCTCTGCCATTTAGGAGTCAGATCACTTATGTTTCTGTTTATGCAGCTCTAGCTACACCTCCCCTGGCTGTGACTCACACAGCCTGCATTAATAAAAAAAATGGTTTCATTTTTAATAAGATGTTAACACAGGAGGCTAGTGTAGAGTCTTGAAAGCTACTTACAGAGCAGAAGATAAGAAAATCGAAATTAATCATAATTTTCAATAAAGGAAGGTGTCACTTTACAGGATGTGTTTAGGAAGGCTGTGTAAATCACATGCAGGGAGGTGTTAATAAGGTTGCATTTTTGTATATGAATAAAGTAACTAACCCTGAAAACTCTGTTTCTTTCTGTGCATAAGACACTTTTGTACAGTTTACGTTCTCTTACATTCTAACTCCCTCTAGTGTCAAAACACATAATTACACTAACAGGATTATTCACTAAAGTAAGAATTAAAGGAACACTGTAGCATTAGTAATACAAACCTGTATTCTTAACACTATAGTGTTTTCCTTTTTTATTAAGGCTCAGCCCCGCACCCAAATCTAAATAAAAATTGGAAAAAGGTTTTACTAGAGACGAGTCCCTGCTGTCCCACGACCTGTACCCCATCACGTCACACCAGTGTTTCTAAAAGTTTAATCCAGTGAGCATTGGGAAATAAGAGCACATGTGAGGCAGAGCTGCGCTCCTATTGGAGGTTAGCTGTGACAACCACGCTTGACATGGTTCACACTGCAGAAGTTCCTTTAACAGCTGTCAGGTTAACTGCCACTAGAGACATTATTTGACCTTGCAATGTAAGTATTACCATATCTACTAAACTGCATTGGTTTACATTGCAGGGTTAAAGGGACACTATAGCCATCTGAACAACTTTAGCTTAATGAGGTTGTTCAGGTGAGAACTATAGCTCCCTGCAGCCTTTCTCATGTAAACACTGTATTTTCTGAGAAAATACAGTGTTTACATTGAAAGCTAGGAACACCTCCAGTTGCAGTCACTCAGAGTGAATCAGAGGGACTTCGGAGTTGATGGAGGCATAATATGCCACCATCCACTCAGATCTGCTGTCAGCAGAGCACAGGGCAGCACTGTGCACAGCATCCTGTGATTCAGTATCTCCTCCCTCTGCATGCAGACACTGAACTTTCCTCATAGAGATTCTTTGATTCAATTTATCTCTATAAGATGCTGATTGGCCAGGGCTGTGTTTGAATCATGCTGGCCCTGCCCCTGATCTGCCTCTTTGTCAGTCTCAGCCAATCCTATGGGGAAGCACTGTGATTGGATCAGGCTACCACATGTCAGCAGACTGCTTGTTTTTCCGAATCTAACAGCATGCAGATTTACAGCTTCAGGCTTGAATACAGTAATATTTTTACTATATTTATGCAGGCATGAGGGGCCCAGGGGGGCTAGATGATGGTGTTAACACTATAGGGTCAGGAATACATATTTGTGTTCCTGACCCTATAGTGATCCTTTAAGGCATCCAGACCACTTCATTGAGATGGTGTGGTCGTTTAGAGATGATTTTTAATTTTTTTTTAAAATTAAGCTCAAAATATCAACGGGGAGGGGCTGTGGGGGGACGAGGGGGGGCAGTGAAGCATTTAGTTAGGCTACTCTGGCATTAAAAGTGAAATATGCTTGTAATCTTACTTTAGAAAACAACCTTGGGTTCACTATAATTATTTCTTTTTTTGTGTCTCTGTTCTTTAAAGGAATACTATAGTCACCAAAACAACTTTAGCTTAATGAAGCAGTTTTGGTGTATAGATTAGCCCATGTCACAGAGATTTTTTTTCACTATTTGTCTGCTGGCTTCTGCTGCCAGTGGGCAAATAGAAAACTCTTAGTCACAAAACAAATGAAACGGTTTGTCCATTAACCATTTCCTGTTTTATTATTCAGCCACAGGTCAATTCAGACCTTTTGGACAATTTATTTATTTATTTATTATTCTTTATTTATTTCAAAGTAAGACACTATGAGAACGATTACATTACAACATAATTGGAAACAATAGTACTAAGACGGATCCATGTTCATACAAGGCATATACACATGTGAGCTCATAAAAAACAAACAATAAGCACCAGTAGCAGAATGTTAAGCGTCCGCTGCTGATGTCTGTGTCTCAGCAATGTCTCACCAAGTTTTTTAACAAGAATAAAACAGTGCAATAATGGAATCTGACCATCCCTTGTGCATAGGATTCTGTTATCCGGTGCCTAGGTTTGGCAGGCTATACAATATGCAAGTGAGATCGCAGTAAACAAGATAGCTATCCCGGCTTTCAGTGTCACCCATTGTGCATTACCCTTTTAGTAATATTACAACTTATTACATATCGTGTCATGTCTCAATAGAGGTAATGCTCCCGCTATATTTGTGGTCCAGCTGTTGGTGTTAGTCAGAGTGTATGATAATGTAGTTATAAATGTGAAGGAAGAAAACTCGAACTTAGAGGAGAGAGAGAAAGAAAAGAGGGAGAAAAAGAGTAGGGTGAAGGAGGGAGCAGGAGAGTTCCAGGAGGGAGAAGTACAGGGAGTCGCCGGCTGTGGCGTTCGTAAGAATTAATTTATTTTTACTTGTTAATATATAATACAATAATGAATACTTTTTGGGTGTAATTCTGTACGCCACTTTTATCGCACCAAACACCTGGCGGTGATAAAGCTTTGGTTACTGTGTGTGTTTGGAAATATACTTGATGGTTTGTAATGTAATCCATTGGAACACTGCCTCCACTTATCTCTAAATGTAATATTTACTCACTCATATTTTTTCAACCTATAAAAAAAATATTAAGGAGCGTAGGTTCCTTAATAATGTTTCTAATAGTTTAATATATAAGAAGTATTAAGGAGTGGAGATTCCTTATTTTATTTGTGCTTTCTTTCTCTTCAGGCAGAGCTGGAAGAGATTGAAGGTCCTTACACAGAGGAGAAAGCCCAACTGGAGGAGTTGACAGAGAAGCTGTCTGTGATGGAGGTTGAATACCTTCAGATTATGGAGGAGAGGCGACTTGCACAGCTAGAGAAGGAGGCAGCAGAAAAGGAATTGGCCAATAGAAACAGAGCTGCCACTGTAATTCAGGCCCATTGGAAGGGCTACCAAGTGCGCAAAAAAATAAAACCTAAGAAGAAAAAGAAGAAGAAAGGGAAGGGAAAAGGAAAAGGAAAAGGGAAAGGGAAAGGAAAAGGAAAAGGAAAGGGTAAAAAAAAATAAGAATAAAAAGAGGCTACACTGATTACCCATATTAATGCATCTTTATCCAATATCCATTTAAATGAGTGGCTGATTCCTTTCTTTTCTAATTTTTAATCTTTTGTTTTCTAGGTTTTTGGAATTGGGGTGCCATAATTATTTCAATAAATGCTTCAATAAATGTACAGTCTACATGTCCTTTCCTAATACGATATAGATAAAAAAACAAACACCAAAGAAAGTAAAAGCTATATTGGCATAAGAAGAGAGAAATATATAAAAGTGCAAGCAAACTGGTAAATGCAGGCACTCTCAGGATAACTCCCAAAATATCCCCAACCAATAAATAACTCACATTTATAACAGAGGGTGCCAAATCACAGCTATTAAATTAATACATATCACATAAAATACTCATCAATGAGGGGGCGTGGCTGACCGCCGCATAGAAATCTGCTCCGGCACATGGACTCCGATACCACCCGATTCACTTAAGCAGAACGGTAACACAACAGCCAGTTTCAGTGCTACCTGTCATGGCACAACAAAAGACAAAGAAAACCGCAGCAAAAGCGGACAAAATGAGCTTTTTTAACAACAAAGCGGCCGCGACATTGGAGACTGCAAGGGCCGCCATGCAAGATGGCGCCGAAGAAAACGAATCTGATGCTAACCCGTCTCCACATGGGGAAACAGAGAGCCTCACAAAGGAATACTTTGCGCAAACCATCGAAAACATGTCAGCACGATTAATACAAACCAAGTCAACAGCAGACCAAATAAGGAGAGAGATGAAAGACCTCTCCAACAGGACGTCCTCCGTCGAACAAAGATGTCAGGAGCTGGACTCACCACAGGCCGAAACAACTAACCAGCTACAGACACTGCACCAACAAGTGGAGAACTTGGAGGCACGCATGGCGGACTCAGAGGACAGGGCACGCCGAAACAATCTGCGGCTCCGCGGAGTCCCTGAGTCTGTACTGCTAGACGAATTGTAAGTATATGTGAGAGGCCTTCTGCACACCTACGCACCAGACATTCCAGCAGACATGCTCCTAATAGATAGACTGCACCGGGTCCCCAAGCCCAGACATCTACCTGACTCCGCGCCCCGCGACATACTCCTCAGAGCGCATTACTTTCACATCAAAGAACTTATCCTCAAAACATATCGCAACAAACAAGACCCACACGAGGACTACCCAACTGTACGCATTATGGCGGACCTCTCAGCCGCGACCCTAAGCAAAAGAAGGGAATTTCAAGCAACAACGGCGGAGCTGAGAACCAAGGGGATCCGCTACAGGTGGGGCTTTCCTACAAAGCTTATTCTTACAAAAAACAGAGAAACAAAAATCATCTCCACCCCGGAGGAAGGCTTGAGAAAATTGAAGGAATGGTGCCTACTCACCCAGACATCGAAAGAGGCGCATCCAATTCCCAAACAAGGCCGCAAACACCCGATGGACCAACAATGGAGACTGCATGCCGCTAGGTGTACACGCCGCAAGTATTGATCCCAGGACGGGGAAAACTGTTTTATATTATTGATATAGAATCAATGTTAGTTAACTGTTAAATTAGTTATACTATGTCTAATTGGTAATAACACCTAAATAGGAACCGCTTGAGCCACAACTATTTTGGGGAACACAATAGGAATTGCATGGCATATGGTGTACACACCACATGATTAACCCTGAGAAGGGGAAAACGATAACACTAGGTCACTGGTAATTAACCGCGATTATTCATTACACTAATCCTAGCTGCTATTAAAACACAAAACGGAATTATGCAAACCGAAACCCCCTGCAGAACACCCAGAAATTACATGCCATAAGGGGTAAATGCTGCGGGCATTAAGCCAGAGGGCATAAGGGCCAATGCTGGACAAATGTTGCCTAACTGCTGATCCAACATCACCAAGGTCCAACCGTTGGCACTATGCACAAAAGAAACTAGCTCAGCCGCAACACCATAGCGATGACATGTTGAAGTAAACTGCAGCTTACGGACCGTAAATTTAGTAAGGAAAAGCAAAGGCCACATGACCCATAAGGCTCCCTAGACAGTACGAGACTGCAGGGTAAAATAGAGGCGACTGAAACCCGACACGCACTAGGAGCAAATCGTGGCAAACCAAGCCACCTAATATAAAGCACAACAACAAACCCGTCTCGAAGGGGTCAATAGGAAGCACCAACGTGTACACAATTGCCACATGACAGAAAGCAAAAATAGTTAACCATACTATGCATTTAACCTACACTCTGGACCGGCCTGAGGGACCGGGTATTGTTGTCACTGCAAGTTGTTACTGACAAAGAATTATTTACAATGTATAACTGAATGAATGTATCGTTTTACTTGTTCATATTGACAAACCCACCCCTGCTTAAGTTACCAACTCCATTAACGAAGGAGTCCAAACAGCCACCTACTTGGAAGTTCCGAACTTTCAACCCCACGGTGAGAACTGCACCGGACCAAGGTAGCTCACCCTACTACCTCCACCCTCCTTCTACCCTAAGACCCTATCCCCACAAACCCCACCACTTACAACCGGCACGCTCTACCCACCGCCCAAGGAAACACAGCAACACACCACCACAAAATGAAATTATATTCACACAATGTAAAAGGGCTCAAAACGCCACATAAACGACGGGTACTACTAGAGGACCTAAAACGAAACAAAGCAGACATAGTCTGCATTCAGGAAACCCACTTTGTAACAAATAAGACTCCCGCATTCGCCACAAAAGACTACCCCCTTCAATTTCATGCCACACACACATCAAAATCAAGAGGGGTATCCCTCCTGTTCCACAACTCAATGACAGTGGAACAGCTCCAATCGAAAACAGACCGCCAAGGGGCGATTCGTAATTCTACACTGCCTAACAAAATAAGATTCCTATGATGCTAGTAGGCATTTACAGCCCCAATGAACAACAACGCAACTTCCTGCACAAAGTACTCAGTAAAATACTCAATAATACAAATGCCCCCTTATTGATTTGCGGGGACTTCAACCATACAATGGACTCTCGACTAGACACAACAGTTCCGGCCATGTCAAACAGACACCTCACGCTCAAACAGCACAACAAGACATTCACAAAACTAATACACACCCAGGGCCTATATGATGTCTGGAGGACACTACACCCAACAACAAAAGAATACACATTCCACTCACAAGCCCACCAAACCTATTCCAGAATAGACCATATTCTGGTATCAGGTACACTTCTTTCACAAATTGAAGAATGTACGATAGGAAACATTGTATGGTCGGACCATGCGCCTGTGGCAAACCTAGCCACTTGGACATTATTTACGTACTGTCGCTTTAAGGGTTGCCTGTATGCTTTTTGTGTTATGTGGGTTCCAGCGTATAATGTAATGCAAATGTGTAACTGTATTTCCTGCATTGGCTATCTGCCGAAAGCAGATAGCTGATTTCCTTTCGTTTCACGAACGGCACCTTTGCGGGCCGTTCGTGAACCGAATTAACTATCAGTTAAGGCGTGTGGCGCTTGTTAACCGATTGCAACAATGTTGCAATCGGTAATTAGAGGCTCTCCAAGGTGGCCGTCGTTCGACTACCGACCATGCGGCGGTCGGCCATCTTGGATCCTTTGTTCCCTCAACGGTGTTTGGTCGTTGAGCGCATGGTACTAAAAACGGCTACTTAACGGTACTAAAAACGGCTACTCGACGGCACGAACACCGCTGAGCTTCCAGGCCGTTCGGGAGTTCCGGGCCGTTCGGTATCCTGTTCCCTTGCATGCAATCGGTCTTTTGAAGATATGTTTTAATGAATGGGTTTTTCGTGCGGCGTTCGGTTGTTTTAGCTGGGATCTGAGCGGTAATCTCACGAATGATGCGCTCAGACCCCAGCTATCTACCGAACGTCCATTCGTTTAAATAGACCGTATATTCAAAGAGTTATACATTTTAATATAAATTGTAGGTTCTGCTGCACGGAGGGATAATCCACTTAACGGTACATTCCTGTGGGAGGATCCCTCTCGTGCAGCAGTGCCTGATGGGAGAAATGTCTTGTACAATAAGTCCCCCATGTAGTCCCCTCTGGGAATGCCCCTGGGAGGGGACTCAGGAAACCCCTTGCATGGGGACTTGTATAAATTGTGGAGCTGAAAATGAAGACCTCAGTTGACTCCCAGCCTATGTGTCGTCTAGTTCTTGGGAAGGAAAGGTTACTACAGTGCTACTTGGATTACTACAGGCTGATTCCCCTGGATTATCCTTTGTTGTTCCTGTTACCCAGCGGAGATATTGTGGATTATACTGCCTCTCCGCTACAATTGGTGGCAAGCGACGGGATTTAATCTACACAGCAAAGCAACGTTCGGCAGAATTTAAAACGAATAAAGGAGCAGCAATTCGGGAATTAGCTCATTCGGATGAAACCCACGAACGGCCGGTGAATGGGAACAAATTACGCCCTGCTAAAACGGAGCACACTAAAGGAGCTGCTGGAAGCAAGAGGAGCAATAGCCAGTAACAAGGCAAAGGCGGTCCTAATTACAGAGCTCATGGAAGGAGACAGAGCCGCAGCTGCTGCAGCACCTCCAATGGAGGGAGAACCAAACGAGTTTGCAACTGAATTCAGAATACGAATGGCTTTATTCTCTGAACCACCATCTGCAGAGATGATTAACAGGCTCTTCGCTGATGTGCAGGAGTACATCATGTTTAGGAGGGAATCAACAAGCTGGAGAAAGAGGCGCAACGCCCGTCAATATCCTTCCAGGGAAAGCCAAAATTCCATACCAAGCCTTCAAAAGCTATGTGGAGGCTGACGACTACTTGCAGGACTTTGAGAGACTGTGCTCAGGTAAGCAATGACCCCCCCCATACCCACTGCCATGCCATGGGCCAATCCCCTAGCGTTTGGGTCAGAAGTGGCCCTAGACCCCTCTTTACAGGTGTATAAAGACCGTATTGATAAAGATCAAGCAGGATTAGAAGGGGAAAGGTATATCTGGGACAAAGGACTACTGTACCGACACGCAGAAAAGGTAGTGTCCGGGTCTATACCTTTACCCATTAAGCAACTCATAGTGCCCCGAAAGTATAGGTTAGAGTTATTACGCATAGCCCATGATATCCCCCTGTCTGGGCACTTAGGCATCAGTCGTACCAAGCACAGGCTGACCCAAAACTTATTTTGGCCAGGTATTTCCCAGGACGTTAGGCGATATTGCCAGACCCGTGATACCTGCCAAAGGGTAGGTAAGAGAGGGGACAGATACAAAGCACGGCTACGGTCTCTGCCCATAATTGAGGAACCCTTCAGTAGGGTGGCAGTAGACATCATAGGACCTCTAGGAAAGCCCAGCCCATCCGGCAAGAAATATGTCTTGACCGTGGTGGATTACGCCACCAGATACCCCGAGGCAGTGGCGTTAACCAATGTACACACTGAAACGGTAGCAGAGGCCCTGATGAGAATATTCACCTGGGTAGGATTTCCCCGGGAGATTATTTCAGATAGGGGCACCCAGTTTACCGCTGAAGTAACCCATCAGCTCTGGAAGATATGCGGGATACAACAAATCCTGAACTCCCCATATCACCCCCAGTCCAATGGGCTCTGTGAACGGTTAAACTGAACCCTTAAGCAAATGATCCGCACGTTCATGGACACCCAAAAAGACTGGGAAAGGTTTTTACCCCACCTGCTGTTTGCGTATCGGGAGGTGCCCCAAGAATCCACCGGATTCTCTCCGTTCGAATTGTTATTCGGGAGGAGAGTGAGGGGACCTCTTGACTTGATACGGGAACACTGGGAGGGAAACGAGACCGTTAGTGGCACCGTATCCTACCTTATGTGCTCGAGTTCAGGGAACGCCTGGAGATGCTGACCCAGACCGTCCAAGACAATCTCCAGGTAGCGCAGCAACGACAGCGCAGATAGTATGATAAGGGAGCCAGGGACCGCAGCTTTCAGGTGGGGCAAAAAGTACTAATCTTGCGACCAGTACACAAAGATAAGCTGCAGGCTTCCTGGCAGAGCCCATACAAGGTGGTAGAACAGATCTGCGACACCACCTATGTGATGGGCCCGGTTACAGGCACGGGAGGCAAACGCATGCTCCATGTGAACATGCTCAAGCCATACCACGAACGCACTGAGGAGGTGACCGCAATCTGTGCCCCTGCCACCGAAGATTTTGACAATCTACCTCTCCCCGATCTCCTAGACCAAGAGGGCCAGAGCGGAGATCTGGGAGAGGTACAGCTAGGAGAGCGGTTAAACCCCCAAGAGAGAACTCAAGTGCAAAGGTTACTCCAGGAAAAGAATGCCACGTTTTCCAATTTACCCGGCTATACCCCGTTAGCTACACATAAGGTAGAAACTTTAGATCAGACTCCTCTGCGCCAAACTCCATACCGCATACCCGAAGCAGTCAAAAAAAATATGCGCAAAGAAATTGAGGAAATGCTTCAGTTGGGAGTGATAGAGCACTCAGACAGCCCCTGGGCCTCCCCGGTAGTACTAGTGCCGAAATGGGATGGAACAACCCGTTTCTGTGTAGACTACCGGCGGCTCAACGATAAAACGACCTCCGACGCCTATCCCATGCCCCGGATAGACGAGCTCCTAGACAAAATGGCCAGGGGCCAGTACCTTACCACAATAGATCTGTGCAAAGGGTACTGGCAAATTCCGTTAGCAGAAGACGCAATTCCTAAGTCGGCCTTTGTCACCCCATTTGGCCTGTACTAGTTTAAGGTCATGCCATTCGGGATGAAAAATGCCCCAGCTACCTTTCAGAGAATGGTAGACAGGTTATTAGATGGGTTCCAGGAGTATGCATGCGCGTATCTGGATGATATCGCCATATTCAGCTACTCCTGGCATGAACATCTGGTCCACATAGGAGTCGTGCTAGACCGGATCCGGGAGGCCGGACTAACCTTAAAACCTAGCAAATGCCATATAGGTATGGAAGAAGTGCAGTACCTAGGGCACAGAGTAGGGAGCGGGCAACAGAAGCCAGAACCCACTAAAATAGAGGCAGTAGCCCAATGGCCAACCCCTCGCACCAAGACCCAAGTGCTCGCCTTCTTAGGGACCGCCGGGTACTACCGGAAATTTGTGGCCAACTATAGTGCCCTTGCCAAACCCCTCACTGATTTGACCCGTAAGAATCTCCCTAAGCTAGTAGCCTGGGCCCCAGAGTGTGAGCAGGCATTTCAACAGCTCAAGACGGCACTTGTTAACTCACCTGTACTTTCTGCTCCTGATCCAACTAAACGTTTTCTCGTCCACACAGACGCTTCTATGTTTGGATTGGGAGCAGTACTGAGCCAAGTTGGACCAGATGGCGGCGAGCACCCCGTAGCTTATCTAAGCCGAAAACTTTTACCCAGGGAAGTAAGCTACGCCGCCATTGAAAAGGAGTGCCTGGCTGTGGTGTGGGCCCTCAAAAAGTTGCAGCCCTATTTATACGGACAACCCTTTACACTACTCACGGATCACAACCCGTTGGTGTGGCTGAACAGGGTGTCAGGAGACAATGCCAGGCTGCTGCGCTGGAGTTTGGCGCTGCAGCCTTTTGACTTTACAATACACTATCGCCCTGGGAAGCAAAATGGCAATGCCGATGGGTTGTCCAGACAAACAGACTTGGAGCCGTGATCCGTGAGTACTCCTCCGGACATCCCCGAGCCGATCTGTTGGGATCAGACTGTGTATGCCGGCTTGGTTCTGGGGGAGCATTGTGGCAAACCTAGCCACTTGGACATTATTTACGTACTGTCGCTTTAAGGGTTGCCTGTATACTTTTTGTGTTATGTGGGTTCCAGCGTATAATGTAATGCAAATGTGTAACTGTATTTCCGGCATTGGCTATCTGCCGAAAGCAGCTGATTTCCTTTCGTTTCACGAACGGCACCTTTGCCGGCCATTCGTGAACCGAATGAACTATCAGTTAATAGCCCACACATTTAGAGGCGTGTGGCGCTTGTTAACCGATTGCAACAATGTTGCAATCGGTAATTAGAGGCTCTCCAAGGTGGCCGTCGTTCGACTACCGACCATGCGGCGGTCGGCCATCTTGGATCCTTTGTTCCCTCAGCGGTGTTTGGTCGTCGAGCGCACGGTACTAAAAACGGCTACTCGACGGCACGAACACCGCTGAGCTTCCAGGCCGTTCGGGAGTTCCGGGCCGTTCGGTATCCTGTTCCCTTGCATGCAATCGGTCGTTTGAAGATATGTTTTAATGAATGGGTTTTTCGTGCGGCGTTCGGTTGTTTTAGCTGGGATCTGAGTGGTAATCTCACGAATGATGCGCTCAGACCCCAGCTATCTACCGAACGTCCATTCGTGCAAATAGACTGTATATTCAAAGAGTTATACATTTTAATATAAATTGTCGGTTCTGCTGCACGGAGGGATAATCCACTTAACGGTACATTCCTGTGGGAGGATCCCTCTCGTGCAACAGTGCCTGATGGGAGAAATGTCTTGTACAATAAGTCCCCCATGTAGTCCCCTCCGGGAATGCCTCAGGAAACCCCTTGCCCGGGGACTTGTATAAATTGTGGAGCTGAAATAAAGACCTCAGTTGACTCCCAGCCTATGTGTCGTCTAGTTCTTGGGAAGGAAAGGTTACTACAGTGCTACTTGGATTACTACAGGCTGATTCCCCTGGATTATCCTTTGTTGTTCCTGTTACCCAGCGGAGATATTGTGGATTATACTGCCTCTCCGCTACAGCGCCAATCACCCTAAACATGCGAGACAACTACCAACACCGGGGAAAACCCCCGTGGCGCTTAAACGACACACTATTAAATGATACAAAGTTCATGAACCAGCTCACGCAAACCCTGCAAGAATACTTTGAGCTCAACGACTCTAAAGAAGTCTCAGCCACATCCATCTGGCAAGCTCACAAGACAGTCATGAAGGGGATACTCCTAAGCCGTGCATCCTATGTAAAGAAGAAACGGGAAGAAGAACACACAGACCTCCTGAGAAAATTACGAGAATTGACAAACACACAGGCTCTGCACCCTTCCGGACAACTAGCCAAAAGCATTGTAGAAACCACTAAAAAGATCAACGACATGAATCTAAACGAAACAGCCTACATGCTAACTAAATTAAAGGTGAAAACATACGCTCAAGGCAACAGAGCTGGGAAACACTTAGCGACGATGCTAAAGCAGAAGCAAGCCAATTCCAAAATCCCATACCTGATCTCTCAAACAGGTGACAAGATCTACAATCCTCAAGACATCAACAATGAGATGGCCGACTATTACCATAAGCTTTACAATCTAAGATATAACCCCGAAGTACACCAACCCACGAAACAAGAAATCGAAGACTTCCTCCAAACTATTACGCTACCAAAGATATCGGCCACCCACAAACGAACAATACAAAATCCCGTGATGATACAAGAAATAACCGATGCGATCCAAGCACTCCCGCCAGGGAAATCGCCAGGCCCTGATGGTTTGACTAACCTTTACTATAAGAAATTTGCAACAACCCTAGCCCCATACCTACAAAGACTATATACACAAATACTTGAATCCGGAACAATACACACAGAAATGTTGATGGCACATGTAGCCACCCTCCCCAAACCGGGTAAACCACCCAACAAAAGGCAGAACCTCAGACCCATATCTCTACTAAACACGGACGTCAAACTCTTAGCCAAAATCTTCTCCAACAGACTAGCACAAGTTATCCCAACACTTATCAAAGAAGATCAGGTAGGGTTCGTAGGCAGCAGACAAGGAGCAGATGGCACAAGAAAAATACTGGATCTTCTACATGTAATAAAGAAGGGGAAAACCCCGAGCATCATGTTGTCCTTAGATGCAGAAAAAGCCTTCGATAGGCTCAATTGGTCCTTCCTACTGACAGTCCTCTGGAAATTCGAGTTCCCACCTCAATTCCTGACATTAATTACAGCACTCTACTCCTCCCCGACAGCAAAAGTAACGAGTGGAGGATTCATTTCCAAACCCTTCACAATAGCGAATGGCTCCAGACAGGGATGCCCACTCTCCCCACTACTTTACATCATAGCACTGGAACCAATGATCCAATGAATAAGGGAGGACCCAAATATCCGTGGAATTCAGACCAACGGACAGGAATATAAACTGACACTATTCGCGGACGACATCCTTCTAACTCTAGAGCACCCACATATATCACTCCCAAACTTCCACAAAATCCTCACCTAATATAGCCAATGCTCATACTACAAATTGAACATGACAAAAACTCTTGCAACAGGAACTCACATTCGTGTACAGGACGTGGAACAACTAAAAGCCAACTTTAATTACGACTGGAGGCAAGATGGTATAAAATTCCTAGGCATAAACTTCACACCCACACCCTCCAAGCTATACAAAGCAAACTACATTAAACGCGAAATCCAAAGCACACTGCAAGGCTGGAGGTGAAAGTACATCTCATGGGCAGGACGAATAGCATCAATAAAAATGGTAATCCTACCCAAAATTCAATACTTATTCCGAACGCCCCCAATAAAACTCCCGAAGACATATTTGCAGGACCTCCAAAATCTGCTCAACAACTATGTATGGGAAAACAAAAAACCACGAGTTGCGAAAGATACCATGTACAAACAGTTTAACAAGGGAGGAATGGGCATGCCAGATGTAGCAGGATACTACAGAGCGGCCCACATAGCACCACTACTGACAAGTCCCCACCACAAAGAACAAGCTACATGGCTCAACCTAGAAAAAAGCCACACAGACGGCAACCCCCTACTGACACTAGCTTGGCTACCGAAATCACGAAGACCAAAGTACACCACCATGCTGCCCACGACCACCCTTTCACTCTCCCTGTGGGACAACTACAAGAAGAAGATGACCAATACCGACCTGATCTTACTGGCCCTACCACTGGAAACAATCAAGTTTCACATATCGAACTTTAACTACAACATATGGCACCGACATGGTGTAAAGTCAATGTCCCAAATCACGCAGGGCCCAAAACTAAATCAACTCTCAACACTCCAAAAAGAGTACAAACTACCGAATACGATTACCTACTCTTACATGCAACTGCATTCATGGCTCACCCACCAACTACAAAACCTACAACACAAAACACAAAACCCGATGTGGCATAAGGTAGAACAAATTTGCACATCAACAACACCAACCAAAAAACTCATGTCCATGATATATGCATCAGAACATATCCTGACTCCCAAACAGCCCTCCTCCTTCATATCAGCATGGGAAAAAGACGTAGGCCACCCTTTATCTGAAACCCAGTGGCTAGATATCTTTAAAGCGCACAAATCACTAACCCTATGCACAACTCACATTGAACTATCCCGCAAATTGCTGTACAGATGGTACCTAGTCCCCACGCGCCTCAAACACAGTTTTCCCAACACATCAGATATCTGTTGGAGAAGCCAAAAAGAACGAGGCACAATGATTCACATATGGTGGCAATGTCCAGCACTCCAACAATACTGGCAACAGGTGGCAGACCTGGTGACACACTGCTCCGACACTAGACTACCACAGGCGCCCGAAACATACGTGCTTCTACATCTGCCACACACACAAACACCACAAAAATATCAAAAATACCTAGCATACCACATCATTATAGCTGCCCTAACTGTCATAAGCAGAAACTGGAAAAAAAACACTTCCCCCACAATCGCCCAATGCATAGCGGTGATAGAAACAAACAGAAGCTATGAAAAGATGGCGCGGGAAAATAGACAAGCGAATCCTCACTGGACCAAAGCATGGGACACGTGGGACATGAAAAAACCCAAATAGATATAAACAGAAAAATCATCGAAAATAACATGGACCTCCCCGACCGGAGGCGACATAACATCCTCCCCCTCCCCCCAGTACCCACCATCACTACACACATAAGACAGAACAACTGGGGAAGCCTACACCACCAAGCACACCCACCTAAACCACTAACATCACATTGAACCAACACACTCAAACCCACATGACCCACTAGGCAGGACATTGTAGCAGACAAATGACACTCAACAGGACAACTACCGACAGATCGACAAGGGAACTGTAAGAGTGCTGTGTAATATTCTGAAACATTGTGTAACATCTAGTCAACTAGTATCTCCCTGTGCAAGAATATTAATGTGAATCAATGTGTATCAATGTCAAATAATGCCTTATAGACACACAAATTCCCCCCCCCTCCCCTTTTCCTTTCTGTACCCCCTCCCTTTATTTGCTAAAGAAATAAAAATTGTCAAATTCAAAAAAAATAAAAAATACTCATCAATAAGGAAGGACATATGGAAAGAAAAAACAAAGAAAAAGACAGGGCAAAATAAATGTACCAGCACGTAGATCACACCTAGGACTAGAAGGTACCGGGCCCTTAGAATGGCTGGACTTAACATACCAAAAAATAGTCAGAATACTTGCAGAAGTCATGGACACAGAATGGGACACAACGATAAGGGAAAGTCAGGGGAATAAATAAGGATATCATTCAGATATACTAGGAAAAATTAATAAATATAGTCCCTGAGTACATCATTAATAAAGTCATGAAACACGGCCGGAACATTGCACAACCCGAAGGGCATTACAAGGTACTCATAGTGCCCACTTCTAGTGTTAAATGCCATTTCCACTCATGATTTTCTTTAATCCTTACCAAATGGTATGCACTCCTGAGGTCAAGTTTAGTAAAGACTTTAGCCCCCTGGAATCTATCAAACAATTCGGAAATGGGGTAGGCATTTTTAATGGTGATTTTGTTCAATGCATGGACATAATTCACCATCTTTTTTAGATACAAAAAAGAACCCTGCACCAGCGGAAGAGAATGATTTACGTATGTGACCCTTCCTTAGGGAATCTGTAATGTATTCTTCCATTATTCTACTCTCCTGTGGATATACGGCATACACTGCCCCCTTAGGAGGCATAGCGCCGGGTAGCAGATTTATGGAGCAGTCATATGGTCTGTGAGGAGGTAGAATATTGGTCTGATTCTTACTGAATACCTCCTTTACCTCCTAGTATTGTATGGGAATCACAGGAGTCTGAGGCGTAGTAATGGGTAAAGTAACGATACCCACTCTTTTGGTAATGGGTAATACACATCTCTCTGTACATTCTTTACGCCATTCCAGTATTTCTCCCTTTGCCCAGTCAATATGAGGATTATGCTTAGTGAGCCAAGGAAATCCTAATATGATGGGACAAGAAGGAGAAGCAATTATTTGGAATGGAATGTCTTCCTTGTGTAGAGCTCCAATAGAAATGTTAATAGGCAAGGTTTTGTGAGTAATCAAGGGTTGACAGAGAGGTCTCCTGTCAATAGCCTCAACAGCGAGAGGTGATGATCTCTCATTAAAAGGTATTAACTGTTTCTTAACAAAATGTATTTCAATTAAGCTTCCTGCTGCACCTGAGTCCATCAGAGCTTTGCATGAAAAGTTATTTTTGTTACACAGGACCATAATATCAAGGAGAAACCTATTTTGCTTGTTACCAGAGAACGTATCCATCACACCTAAGACCTGTGCTCTTAAGGTTCTTAGGTGCAGAAGTTTTCCGGACATATGGGACAAGCACTCCTCATGTGTCCTTTTCTACCGCAGTATAGGCATAGACCCTCTTTTTTCCTATATTGTCTTTCTGCCTCTCAGAGTCTAGTGACCCCTAACTGCATAGGTTCAGTTTCGAACTGTGTAGGGAGTTCAGGAACAACAGGTCTGGAGAAACGAGGTGCCAATGACATAGTCATACATCTAGTTCTGTTTCTAGTAATTTCTCTGGTTCTTAATCTATTATCAATTTGCATAACAAATGTGATAAACTTATTTAATTTTTTAGGTAGATCTTTGGCAGCAATCTCGTCCAGAATTGCTTCAGATAATCCTTTTTTAAATGCAGAGATTAGCCCGCTGTTAGTCCTACCTCAGAAGCCAAGGTGAGAAATTCTATGGCATAATCTGAGATAGACTGGTTCCCTTGTTTAATATGCATTAGGGCAGTGGAGGCGTCATCCTCCCTGCCTAATGGTTTGAATGTTAATTTGAATTCCGCAATGAATTCCTGGTAATAATGTGCAATACTCCTATTACTCTCCCGTAACGGATTGGCCCAAGCTAAGGCTTTACCTTTAAGTTGGTTCATTAGGTAACCAATCTTAGCTCTTTCTGAGGGAAAAGATCCCAGTGAGGCCTCAAAATGATACTCAACTTGATTCAGAAATCCCTGGCATTCTTGAATATTACCATCAAATTGCAGGGGAGGAGATAGGGAGATAGTAGGTGCCTTATGTACTATAGGTGGAGGTAAATTAGGCGGGGGAGACATAGTTGGAGAAGCCTCAGGTTGTAGATGTGTTGTAAGAAATGTACTGAAAGCCTGGGCAAATTGATCCATATGATGATCATTCTCCTCTAGCTTTCTCTTGCAAGCTGCTATGTGCTGACACAATTCTACAGGATCTATGGAGATGTCATAATGTCAGGTTTACTAATTGATCCAGCACGTAGAATTGTATCACACCTAGGACTAGAAGATAACGTCTTACCGGGCCTTAGAATGGCTGGACTTAACGTACCAAAGAATAGTCAGAATACTTGCCAAGGTCAGGGACACAGAATGGGACACAACGATAACGGAAAGCCAAAAGTCAGGGATGCCAGAATACAGGAAAGTCAAAACGAAGCTGTGACGAAGTGCCCTTCGCCACTTGTGCCTGGAGAGGACTAATTACCAGCCTCGTGCCATATGACTATGGTCCCTGGGAGATTGTGCCCTTTAAATACGTTATTTGGGCATAGTGGATTTTATTAGACTGGTTCTGGCCCTTTGAATGCTCTGACGAAGGATCTGCAGTTTTGCTATGCACTTCGGATGCAGAGTGTGAAGAAAATCCCTTTTTTATGGACTTAGTTTGTCTGTTTTATTCCCTGCCTCCCTCTTAAAACACCAGTTAAACCTTTAATAACTGTCATATTTTCAAACACTGTCTGTCTTTAACTGTCATTTTGTTTTCCTCTGAGGAGGAGTTGTTTTGCTGCATGAGTGCTGTTGCTTTGGCGTGCTCATTAAACAGACCTGCTTGACCCTTTCTTGAAGCCTTGGCTCATGCTTGGGGGATGGGATAAGTCTGCAGTGCTAATGGTGTTGGTTGGAGTGCTTGGAGTCCTTGGCAAGCACTAGGAGCATCGATTGGTGGAGGTACTCGGTCGGAGTGCCAGCGGGTCCGTCACATTTGGTGGCAAGAGGTGGGATGGCGTCTTAGTGTGAGGAGAAACAGCTCAGAGACACCGGTAGCGTTACGGAGCTACAAGTTAGGGCGACGCTAACACTCGTGCAGCACCCCTGTCTACAGCGGAATCCAAGGCGCGGATCGGAGCGCTAGTGGCCCAGAGGGGCCCAAGCAAACATGACCTATTGCTATGAGGGCGACGCTTACATCACGGAGGTAAAGAGGTGGCTAGTCGAGTATGGCCCAGACCCTTCGGAAGAGGTGATCGTCCGTATCATGGCAGCGGCCGGAGTTACCGGGTGCGGAGGCAGGTGGTCCTTATTCTCAAATGTTGAGTGACCTCATAGACTGGTCCTGGGAAGACCCACAGATGGCAGGTGAAGATGGGACCGAGGTCTCTCCACCGGCCCTACAAGGATACTGGGCAGCTCGCACAGATCCCCAACTGCAGTTGGAGCCCCAGGGAGAGGATGCAACCGGGCTCTCTCCTCTCCCTGAAGCTCACACTGCCGCTGGGGAGAGAGCCCAGTTGCATCCTCTCCCTGGGGCTCCAACTGCAGTTGGGGATCTGTGTTGGCTGCCCAGTATACTTGTAGGGCCGGTGGAGAGACCTCGGCAACCAGTCTCACTCCCCAGCGGCAGCAGGCGTACCAGGAGGAGGAGGTAGGCGACCCCTCCCCTCCACAGCCAACCCCTAACCCGGTACTGAGTTTAGTGGAGAAGATGTTGGTCCATGGGAGATTTTGCCCTTTAAATACGTTATTTGGGCATAGTGAATTTTATTAGACTGGTTCTGGCCCTTTAAATGCTCTGACAAAGGATCTGCAGTTTTGCTATGCACTTCAGATGCAGAGTGTGAAGAAAATCCCTGTTTTATGGACTTAGTTTGTCTGTTTTATTCCCTGCCTCCCTCTTAAAACACCAGTTAAACCTTTAATAACTGTCATATTTTCAAACACTGTCTGTCTTTAACTGTCATTTTGTTTTCCTCTGAGGAGGAGTTGTTTTGCTGCATGAGTGCTGTTGCTTTGGTGTGCTCATTAAACAGACCTGCTTGACCCTTTCTTGAAGCCTTGGCTCATGCTTGGGGGATGGGATAAGTCTGCAGTGCTAATGGTGTCGGTTGGAGTGCTTGGAGTCCTCGGCAAGCACTAGGAGCATCGATTGGCGGAGGTACTCGGTCGGAGTGCCAGTGGGTTCGTCACAGAATCCAAAGTCAATAACCAGAAGTAAACGCTCAGGAACACACTCTCAGACAACCACGACAAGGCAATGAGGAAAAGTAAAAGTGCGTTTAAATAAGCCCTTTACAAATCTGATTGGTCGAAAATCGGCCTTTGACCCCAGAACGTGCATGTGCATCTCCTGCGTGATGTGACACACACGCTGACATCGTAATCAATGTGGGCGGATGTGGGGCTATAATTTGGCGTGGATCCGCAGCGGCCAGCAGCCATCAACATGTTGCAGGAGTCAGATATACAGATGCATGGCCGCTGAATGCAAATAACGCAAGGTGAGTTACACACATAGATTATAAAAAAATTGCACTCACAAACACAAATGTACATAAAATAGAACTATGTGCAAAGAGAGCATAAGAGCCTAGATAGGTTAAAAATAACAACCTCTCAGTCCACCTGGTACAGCTAAGAATGGAGCCTGCAGATCCAATGGTTGTAATCTCGAAAATCTGGTCTCCAACGCTAAGCTTCACAGGGGTTGTGTGTGCATGTGGGAGGGTGTTGGCTGCATGATTATGGGCTGCTTCTTGTGTTATGTTTGTTTCTGCAATGCTTGTGGTATTTCTGTGTGGGGACTGTTTGTGGTATTGTTAATAGATGTGGGCTGCTTGTTGTGTTATGTATGTGCAGTATG